TATAATTTTATTATTAAATTTAAATTAAATTATAATAAAAATAGAATTAAAAAAACTACAAAAAAAATAACTTTTAAATATTTAATTTGATATAAAAATCAATATTTTTTTTTCAAAATTTTATGATACATTCAAATTTATATTTTATTCAAAAAAAAACATTATCGTTTTTTCGGTACCACATAAAATCGTATTATAACATCGACGAAGACAGAATAAAATAAAACATTAGAATCGAGATGTATTTTGCTGCATTTGTGAGAGCACTATTCTCGTTTATAAATAATACTAAAAAAAAGCCTTTTTTAGAATTTTTTTTAATAAAAATAAAAAATTACATTGACAATTTTTTTATAAAACAATATATAAAATTACAAATCATTTATCTAGAAAATAACTCTTATACAAAATTACAATCATATACCACATAAATTCAAAGGTAGTTTTGTTGGATGTCAAAACAATCCCACTTCTTAGCTCACGTTTCTTGATTTTCAAGTCACCATTCTAAACGTTTCTAGAAATTCCATATTAAACTCCATAAGAAACACCAAAATAAACCCAAATATTCCCACCGAAACAGGGTTTTACTCGAAAAGCTTCAAGATTCTCAATCGTGGGAAGTAGTTTTTCACCACCTTCTCCCTGTCAAATCCCGCCGACAAACCCTAAAAACCACCATGTCTTCTGATAAACCTCCAACCCCTGATGCAGAGCCCACCATAGAAGTGCCTAAAACCCTAGAAAATGAAAACCCAAATCAAGAATCCACAGATCCATCTCTATCACACAAAGAAGACGTAGATCAAGAGGCAGAAGAGGAAGGAGAATGTGGATTTTGCCTGTTTATGAAAGGGGGCGAGTGTAGGGAAACATTCATCAATTGGGAAAAGTGCGTTGAAGAAGGCGAGAAGAACAACGAAGATATCGTGGACAAGTGTTTTGCTGCTACTTCGGCTTTGAAGAAATGTATGGAGGCTCATCCCGATTACTACGGAGTGATTTTGCAAGCAGAAAAGGATGCTGAACAAGAAGTTAGTAATCAATTAGATCAGGAGAAAGAACATCTAGCAGCAGCAGCTGCAGTTTCTAATTCAGGGGAGCAGCAACAGAAGCAGGATACTCAATGATTTTGCAGAGAAATTTTGAGGTAAATTTAGGAGAAAAAAACTGAGAATCAATTACATGATTGGAGAAATAAAGTGTTACTATAATTCAATTCAGCATCATTTATAGTTTATAGAGCCAAATGATTGATTGCTTGGCTATCTTGTTTAACTTTGTTATGAGTTCTCCCCATGAATTTTGATTCCCCCAATTTGATGATGCTAATACAGGCAATGTTAGATTACTCTGGTTTATGCCAAACTTCATGGCTTTGAATTTTGATATAATGCTTGATTTGGGGAGGTGAAATCTGTTTACATCAGGAGATTGATTTCTTCTTATATCAACTGTTTTGTATTTTATGATTGATTTGGTTTTATGATATATGCTATGCTCTGTGGAGTGTTTTTGGCTTCATTTGGGCAAAACAGGGGTTGTTCGCTTGATATTCTCCTGTATGGATAAAGCTTTCTGTATGGATTATTATGTCGGTATAGATTGGAAAGGTTTTTGTTTGGAGAGTTTTTCCACAGATGAAAGGAGCTTGTTCTTTTATTGAGAGGGGCAGGTTTAGAAAAACTTTGGCTTTCTGCATAAAGCTTCTCCGTATAAGCTTACTAAATATGCCACTTCTATATCATTAAGCCACTACCAAACAACATGTATAGCTGACCGTAGCATAGAAAATCTTTGAGGTAGAAGTAGTTAAGGTTAGAGAGGGTTATGTGGTCAATTATTTCTCTAAAAAGAGGGGAACTTGGGCGGGAATCTTGATATTTCTAACAAAAAATAAAGAGAGAATCCTTCCAACTTAAAATTTATGAGACTGAGAAGCAAGAAACCCCTTCAAAATCCCTAAATTCTCGCACTGGAACTCACAATCAAAGCATGAGCGTTGGCGTGTTCTCTTGAATTCTGATCGTGTTCTCTTGAATTCTGATCGTGTTGGTTTACAAAGATCCTATAACGTTAGCCAAATGTTGGTTGTTCATTTGGTTTTGGTGTGGGGTTTCCTAGGATTATTTAGCACACAAACTTTGGTGATAAAAGGTAACCGGATGCACCAAGAATCATATGTTTTGGGGCAGCTCAACTAGTAAGAGAGCGGATTTGATCTTCAGAGTTCACTAGTTCAAGTCTTCTTAGGGACACGATAGGGTTTTGTGTGGCGGTTAACATGATGGTCCATGGGATTAGTTAAGATGTGTGCAAGCCGGCCAGATTTCCTAGGTTGTGAAAACATATGCTATGAACTTTGGATTCCAAAGGACTAACCTTCGTAACAATCTTGGAGTTCTTAGGGTTTGGTAGATAGCATAAGACGAGAGCAAGTTTTTAAAAGGTGGAATGGGCCTCAAGGCGTATCCCTGTTGAGGCGAGGTGTAAGCCTCAAGGCGATCCAATATGTAAGCCCTGAGGCGGAAATATATATACACATACATAATACACAAATATACATACAATATCTATATATATAATACTAAATTATGTTGGTTCAGTGGCTCTTGACAGAGGAAATAATGAGAGCGTGAGATAGGCTAAGAGGTTGTGGAAAACATAGTTGCCGTCTGGAGGAGGAAGACGGAGGGTAAAAATATTGGAGAGTACACATTGGGGCCATTGGGCTTTGACTTTTAGTTTTTTAAAATAAAAAAGACTCTTATAGTATAAAGAGAAGTGCTACACTACTACTGCCATAGAACTTATAGAAAAAGCAAAAAAAAAAACATTACCAAAGCAGATCAACTGAGGCGTATGTCTCTACACCGCCTCATCGAACTGCCTCACTGAACCACGGCGTAAGCCTCGTCCAGGGTTCAAGAGGTGCCACCTTAAGTGCGGTTTTGGGCCGTCTTGCCTCGAGGCATACGCCTCAAACGGTTTTTAAGACCATGGACGAGAGGAAGGGAGCCAGAGAAGTAGAAGGTAGGGAAGTCGTTAGTTAGGTTACCTAGGTTAGACTACGAGTGTGCAGTTTCTTTTGTCTTCATTATGTTTTTCTTGTACCCTGTCGTTGCTTACTTGTAACTAGTTTTTCAAAATTTATGTCACATATTTTTCACTCTCTCGCACACTTTTCATAACCCGGAGGTCTTCACTGAAGCAACCTCTTTACTCTTGAGGTAGAAATCAAATTTTGCATACATCTTCCTTTCTAGACGCAACATCTGAGTTGGATATACTAGGCTCGTTTGATCTGGTTTTGAATATGCTATTTTGCTTATATGACATTTGATACCCGAAATCTTCATGCTTAGGAAGAATATAAGAGGACCGTAATCCATTTTCTATCACATAAATTAAAACATGATAATTTTATTCGCATTCACTAGTTTCTTAATGTCGATGTGTTATAAAGATAATTTCATTCGTGACGAACAATTTTTGGGATGAGTCACATCTTACAAGTTCATTATCTCATATACTATCGATCTGGTATATTTAGGTACAAATTTTAAATGATATTTCATTTAATTAAATCAATGATCTTCAGTTAGTTTTTAAGGATCATAGATTTAATTAAAATATCATTCAAGGGTTACGTATTTAAATGACACCGATTAGTTGGTTCAATCCAATCAATTGTGTTTATTGAGGATCCCAGAGAAAACCCAAATGGAGAAGATGAGAAAGAAGTTCTAGGAACGAAAGATCAAAGAACACGAATCATCTGAAAACACAAAGAATCATGAAGAAAACCTGCAAAAAGTAGTTGATCATGGGGAAGATAAAGAACGTGAACCGACTGAAATTGTTGAGGGTTCCAAAGGAAACCCAAGTGGAGAAGATCATAAGCAACAGGTTCTTGGATCGAATGAAAAACAAGAACCAACAGAAAGCTCAGAGAATCGTGTAGGAATCCTGCAACAAGAAGAAAAGCAAGAAGTTGATGGCCATGGAGAAGACAAAGAACGTGAAGTGAGTGAAGATATTGGGGGTTTCAGAGAAAACCCAAATGGAGAAGATGAGCAAAAGGTTCTTGGCTCAAATGAGGAGTACAAGAATCACCTGAAACTGCCGAAAATCGTGAAGAAACTTGCAACAAGAAGTTAATGGGGGGGAAAATGTCGAAAATATGGAGGCAAGAATCACAGTTGTTTCTAATACACCCATGAACAATATTTGCTTGCTTATTGTATTCATAAGAAATGCAAGACTCAAGAACCCTAAAAGATTACCAAAATAAAGATTTTTTTTTGTTAGATTCTTTAAATTAATGATGGGTATTTGATCGTTCCTCAATTGAATTCACCAACATAGGCCAATTTTCCTGTCCTTCCATAATGAATGGGAAAAATAAAAGCAATCACTAATGAGCACCTCAAAACCTAAATGACATGTGAGTGAATGCAGATAAAAGCATTTCATCCTTAAAAGTTATTTGATGATTTTATATATTATAAAAGTCATAAATGACACATTTATTTAAATAATTTATTATAAATATTTTTATATAGTTTTCATAGACATAACTACATATATAAGAGTAATAAATTTTGATATAATTGATGGTACTTTGAAAATATCCAATTTAGATGAAAATTTATGTTGTATTCGGTTTGGAAGATTTCTATCAATTGGCGGGGGAACGATGAACATTATTGCAGCAATAATAGTTGTGGAGGTAAAGGCAATGATGGTTGGTGGATGATGGTGCATAACGGTGGTGGTGGCGATCGACAATGGTGGAGGAGGTAAATGTGGCCAATGTGGTGGAGGTAGTGGTGGTGGCAATGGTAGTGGTAGCCAATAACGGTGGTGGTGGTTGCCGACGATACTAGTGGTGGTGGCGATGGACGGTGGTGGTCGGTGGTCGACGGTGGTTGTGGAGGTAAAGGAAGTGGTATTTAGTGGACGATGATGGTTGTGGATGACGTAAAGATGGTGGATTGTAGTGGTGGTACCAGTCTATAGTGGAGGAGATGGTTGTCGTCGATGTGATGGAGGTAGTGGTAGTGGTGATGGGTAGTGATAGTGATAGTGATAAGTGGAGTTGATGGTGATGGTGGTGATGGACGGTGGTAGTTGGTGGCCGGCTATAGTTGTGGAGGTAGAGGCAACGGTGGTTGGTGGACGATGGTGGTTGTGGAAGACGTGAAAATGGTCGATAGTTGTGGTGGTGGTGGCCAAGAGTGGTGGAGAAGGTAGTTATGCCCAATGTTGCGGAGGTGGTGGTGGACAATGGTAATGGTAGCCGATGATGGTGATGGTTACAGTGGTGGAGGTAGAGGTTGCCCTCGACGGTTGTGGTGGTCGATGGTCAACAGTGGTTGTGGAGGTGGTAGAGGAGATTGTTGTAGTGAAGGAGGAGGTGGAGGTGGTGGAGGAGGTTATTGTAGTAGAAGAGGAGGTGGAGGTGACCGATTGTGGCTACTATGTTAAGGTTTTATATCAAGCGAGAGTGAATTAGTAGTATTTTAGTTTCCATCTAATTCTTGTTCCACCTATTTTGGTGAAACAAGAAAAAACTTTTTTTTATCTCATGTGTTCAACCTCATCCCAGTTCTTGTCCTTGTCATGTGTTGCACCAAACATGGAACAGTGAGTTCTTTGTCCTGTCTCATGTCAAGTAAAACGTGAAATAGTGAGTTTTGTTTCATTCTATAAGTCTCATGTAATAAATGCAACCTTCTTATTAGAAAAGAGCTAAAACCATGATTTGCCTCTTGATGCCATCTTATTTGCCTAAGACAAAATCAAAAACATTTGGAACCTTAAAAAATAAGAGATTTGCAATTTGTCTCATGAAAACGGAATATTAAGAATTGGAAACATCTAATAAGTACAAATTCCAATAGCACGAAATTTAGGGGTCGTTTATTAAACGCTTATCTGGTAAGTATTTATTAAACATTTTTTCTCATCGAATGAGCATGGCAACGGGCAAGAATCTTACCCGGTAAGAACGATGATAAAGATGGAAAGTCTTATCTTGTAAGTGAGGGTGACGACTCTTACCCAGGTAAGCGCTTACCAGGTAAATTGTTGCATAAATACGTTTTGATGTACTACAATTTTACCCGATAAAATAAATTATAATATTGACTCTTAACGGTAAGCGCTTACCCGTAAGCATTTAGGTAAACGGCCACTTAGTGCTTCAAAAACAATACTCAAGACTTTTTATTTTGATTTGAAAATATGGAATATAATTTTTGATAAGTTTTCATGAGCATTTATGGGTGTAAAAGTGTTTATCAATTTATGTGGTGTTAAGTGTAGTTCTATAAAAAGTGTTTGGATTAGCTAATCACGGTACCAAAACCTAATAAGCTGATAAGTTAATAAATTATAAGGAGTAACTTATCAAAAACTTTTTATTACTAGTGACTAACCAGTATAAGTAATTCTTTTTTTTTTTCATCCAAATACTAAAACTCCTTATTACCGTTACCAAACCGGTATAAGTATTTTTTTTCTCCATCCAAACACTAAAAACTCTTTATTGTCCGATATCACACTGAAAAAAAGTTAATAAGCATTTTAAATAAGCAATCTCAAATATTCCTTAGTTTCTTAATAACATTAACTTTGATTTTGCTTATATATTTAAACATTTAACAATTTAAAAAAAAAACACCTTTATTGACTCTTCTTTTAGACTTTGATATCATCTATTATCAATAGAAGTAAATATGACTTGAGATTTCCACATATCTTAAAAAAACAAACAAAAAACAAGATCTCTATGTGAGGCTCTCGTTTTTCTGCCCAAAAGCTAACATTTGAAATTGAATTTGCCGGTCCCGGTCCTCCGATGGTCTCAAGCCGAACCGATTAGGTCCAGCCTGGACCCGGGACCAGTTTTTGGCCGTCACTAATCCTAATTCATTCATTATTCCATTAATGCGAAAAAGGACTGGAAAATTGAAGAATGATCAAATACCATCAAAAATTTAAAGAATCTAACAACAAAAATCTCTATTTTGGTAATCTTGGTTTAGGGTTCTTTATTTTTTTGCTTTTCTTTGCCTTGTCAATGGCATAAGCAAGCCAATGTTGATCACGGGGATTATAATAAACTTGTTGTCGCAGGTTTCTTGCACGATTCTCTGTTGGTTCTTGGCTTTCATTCGTGCCAAGAACCTGTTGCTTATGATCTTCTCCACTTGGGTTTTCTTTGGAACCCTCAACAATTTCAGTCACTTCACCTTCTTTATCTTCCCCATGATCACCTTCTTTTTGCAGGTTTTCTTCACGATTCTTTGTGTTTTCAGATGATTCGTGTTCTTGATCTTTCGTTCCCAGAACCTCTTTCTCATCCGTCCCCGTAACCTTCTCTTCATCTTCTCCATCAGGGTTTTCTTTCGGATTCTCAACATCTTCAGTCACTTTACGTTCTTTATCTTCCTCATCAACTCCCTCCATCTCTTCTCTTCTCAGATTCTCGACATTTAAATTTGCATTAGATTCTTGATCATCTTCATTCCCGCCATGATCAGAAGTTCTGGTGGCTGCTTCTTGCATCTTCTTCAACCTTTCCAACCGGCGTCCATGAACAGATCGATATTTAGAAACGATCTCAAGAACTACAGACACTTGAACTTCGTTGCCACGAGCGAAAGATTCGATCCCAACCATCTCCATCAATGTTACCAAGATTTCGAGCTCTATATTGAAGTCAAGTAGACACATTGGAATCCAATCAATCTCCATCATCGTCTGTAGTTCTCGCATCAGTTCCGTCGTGATTTTTCGCTTCTCCATTGTTGTCTGTGTTTTTCGCCTCTCCATTGTTGTCTGCGTTTTTCGCTTCCAGATATCGAATTTATCGAGAGAGATGCTCTTTCTTCTGAAGAAAAATCGAAGTGCTTTATACGCCATTGAAGTATGTGCAGATTCTTATATAAGGTTTTAAGTTAATTACAAGAATGGTCCTTTAAGTTTTTGATAACTATCATTTTTAGTCCCTTAATTTATTTTGCATTGGAGGAAAAAATTAGAGCTAGATATGACATTGTATAGGTTTTGGGCGAGATATAAAAAAAGAACGTTCGATATATACGAAATAAATCCTTATTATATTGTTTTTGTTATTATAAATAACATTAAAATTTTAAAAAAAATAATTTATAATAAGCTCGTTTTTTTAAGTAATTCTAGACAAAAAAAAAATCAATTAATAGTTATGTCGGGTTTTAAAACAATTTTGTGACCATAAAATATAGTGAAAAACAATTTACGTTACAATTATTTAGAAAACTTTTCTAAATATAAAACCTTTAGTCGAACTCAATGACTAAAAAAACAAATCTAAACAATTCACAGGGCTTTTAGAGATATTACCTTTTTCCATATCAGTGTTTGGTTATGACGAAGCACTTAGAAATCAAAACATATTTCCTCTATCGGTAGTCCACGCACAAACACGTTATCTGATGTATTTAACGGGAAAAAAAAGTTTCTTTTTTGTTTTTCTCTGAGAACTAAAAGTCTAGAAGAAATTAGCCTGATGTTTAGATTGTCATCTTATTTATATACATTGAAGTTATAGATGGACGATAACTCAAATAAGGTTATATAATTATCTGTAATATTTATATAATTATCTTAAACTTTAATATAATTAAATATTTTTACAGATAACATATTTTAATTATCATAATTACATTTAAACACATATTTTAATAATTATCATCCAAGAATAATTATTTTAACGGTCTATGTGCATCAACCCCCTTTATGAGCTTAAGCGAGCCCTACGAACGTGGTACAAACGATTTGGTTATATTTTTATCATTGATATTTTTGTACAAACACATTTGTAAATGTGGCCTAAAACACAATATAGGAAGGAACTACCAAGTAAGCTTATATGAGACTCGCTACTTATTCAATCAACTATAGATAATTGTTTGATAGCGACTTATTGATATAAAAAGTGACTTATTCAGTAAACTTCTAAGGGCAAACTTTATGCAAAAAATCGTTCTAAATTTATCTTCTAACTAGAAAAACACTCCTTACCAAGCCCGCCCAAAAAGTTTGGGTTTGCTTTTGCTATATTAAACCCGATAGGTTAGGCCCAATCTGTGTCGGGCCAACCTGCAAATGATGGAAATGGCCAAAACTATTGGTAATGAACAAGAATCACCATATGCGAAACTTGCATAATTATCGAAGCAAAGGAACATTCTTTATAACTATGAATATCGTATAATTCAACACCAAAATCCCGAAAAAGAACTTGTCGAAGAAACAATAATAAGCACATAAACGAAACAAATCTTTATGCCCAGAAAGACGACTTACGTGGTGCTTCCTTTTTTACCCTCTCGTGAAATATGAACAACTCTCGCAGTCTCACCATTAATCTCATTTTGCAGCCATCTTCAAACCATCTCATGGTTACCCGAGATTCATCGTGGTATGTACATATTCCTCTATGAAGATTCGACATAAATTTCCATGTTTAAACGATTATTGATCAATCGTGGCTGGTGGAATTGGGCTACTTACGGGTGAGTAACTACAGTTTGCCACCCCACAGAAGCATTCTTGAGGGTTGGCATAAAAGTAGTCTTCTTCTTTGGGTTTTTCTGCAATTATTATTCGATGATTTGGTTGGCCCATTCGTTTCTTGTGTGATGATTTCACGGCATCAGAAAACTCGTCCCATGATAGCGTTCCGTTATGGTGTAAATCTATCAGTTCTACAAGTTGTCTTCTATTTAGTTGGATAGTCTTCTTGAAGCCAAGGTACCTGCATTGCATTTTGCATGGATATATTTTCAGCTATGTTTCAGAAGACAACCAACAGCACCACAGTTTTAATCTAGAGATGGATACCTATATGTATGTATGTACATGTGAGACCACAAATAACACTAAAACTTCATAGTAAAACATTTTGAAGGTACAAAAAAACTGAAACTTCACAGCAAAAACACGTAAAATGTGAAGGTTCGATGTTCTTTATGTGGTCTCATGAAAACAGTCTGATCTCACATGATCCTAAGTCTATATATATGTGTGTGTGTGTGTATATATATATATATATATGTATGTATGTATTATATATACACGTATAAGGCCAAGTTCAGGGAAAAACCGTAAAAAAATAAAAAATTGAGGAACACCCTGGTAACCGTTCAGCGGACGGTATACATGTAATTTCTAAGCAATTTGTCTGGTATGTGCATAACATGTACACGTGCATAAAAACCAAGAAACAACTTCAATTGCTTGTATGCGCATGTGCGTGTCGTCCGGATGAATGGTTACCAGGGTCTCAGTTTTTCATTTTTTTGGGGTTTTCCCCAGAACCTCCCTCTATGTGTGTGTATATATATATATATATATAAAAGTACAAAGGAGAACCATAAATATTTTGAAAACTTGGGAATCAACTATTTCATGTATCATTCATGAATATCTTGTACTGTGTCATGAATATCTATGACGACATTCATCATATTATAGTACTTAATAGGTTCTCAGGTTCTCAAAATATTTATGGTTCTCGTTAGAACCTATCTCTGTATAATATATAAACACACGTGCGCGCGCACACACACACACACACATATATATATATATATGGAAAGAACTATTCAATAGAGGCGAAGAGGATCCCTTACCTTCGGTGACCTTCCACAAGCTTCGCCATGTTACCATCATAAGACGGAACAAAGATGTTACTAGCAACCGAAACCATGAAATCAAGAGCTGCCATTTGGGACGAATGATTCTGGAATTGCCTCAACTCTTCTGGATCTAATAATGTTTCTTTCTTAACCTGAAAATTAGAATCAAAGTTTTACTTCCAAAAGACCAATGAGGCTATTCAGCTCAATGACCTTCTCCAAAAGCTTGTTTTGCAAAATGACACTAGCGTATAATTGTACTTTTAAATTTTTACGGGAGCACGCTGTTTTGAACTCAAGGCAGGTCAGATGAAGGTCATTCAGCTAAAAACGAATTTAGAAGGTCAGATGAAAGTTTGACTTTCGAGAGTCAAAAAACAACATATATCTCCTGATGTGCATAACCAAGAATATTCATTATGAAGAAAGCAACACAAAAAGAGTATTCATTGTGAAGAAAACAAGAATATTCATTATGAAGAAAGCAACACAAAAGAGTATTCATTATGAAGAAAACAACACAAAATAAGGCATACAGGCGGAAACACGATAGAAATTTCCAAGAAAACACACAACTGCGGTAGATCTTTGACAAAATATATTTCTGTTTGTATGAACTTTGAAGTTTAAAGGCAAGAACAAGAAAGAAGATGGTGATGACTCACAATTCGTGGAAATGTAGCCCTTAACGCTGCCAGTCTCTTTTCGCTGCCATAAATTTCACCGGATGCAATATATATCTGTGTGTCCTGATCAAACCCAAGTGCTTGTAGAATCAACGTTGCTTCCTCCGGAGTAAGAGGACATAGACCTTGTGATCTCTTCTCTTCAGAAACTATCTCCTTCTCCCTCCACCACGGGAAAGCATACCTGAAAACAACAATTTGCAATAAAAAAATATTTAGAATGAGAAAATAGAGGCATGGGTCGGGTTCAGGGGAAAACCGCAAAAAAAATAAAAAACAGAGGAACACTCTAGTGACCGTTCATCTTTACGATATGCACATGTGCATATAAATAATTTTTCTAGTATGCACACGTGCATAGAAACCAGGACACATCTTCAATTACTTGTATGCACATATGCATACAAGTAAACAAATGAGAACCCCAAAAAAGATTGACAACTGTGGAAACCAGTGAATCATGTGTTATTCACAATACAGTGTGAAACAAAAATACATGTAAAGGAAGTTTCACATTGTGAAACAAATATATGTTAGATGAAAAAAGATCATGTGAAACAATACATTGAGATTGGTTCTAATGGGGTTGTAACCTTTTTGTGGTTCTCACAATGTTTATCCCCATGAGAAAATTGAGCCATTACCTGAGACGTTTAAGTTCATCGGCTTCCTCAATGGTGCAACCATGTGTGCAGCCTGAAAACGCCAACATGTCCATCTCGTATCTCAAGTGCAATGCCAAAAATGGTCCCTTCTCTTGGAGAACGTGGACCAATTTATTCCCAAGAGCCTCGATCGAAGGTGTGAACTTTAGTGCTTGGAAATTGACACGGCATCTGAGTTTTTGAAGATCTAGAGGGATCCCATTGTTTGCTAATCGTGTATCCGTTCGATTGAAGTGTATCACTTTATGCTTGCTAAAAAGTGGTAGAATCTGCAATTTTTAACGGAAATGTAGCCATCAGATCACATTATTCACCAAAAACTCTAGAAGCCGTCTATCACAGCACGTTTACACTTTTTATATTAAAAATGTATGAACTAGATTGGTTATGATTTTCTTGTACCTGTTTCTATTTATATGTTATTGTTTACTTTTAACCAGTTTTTCAAAACTTTGTTCATATATGTCTCTCTCTCTCTCTCTCTCTCTCTCTCTCTTTGTCACACTTTTCACAAGCTGGGGGTTTTCACGAAAACAACCACTCTACCCTCTAAGGTAGAGGCTAGGTCTGCGTACCCCCCTCCCCCGGGAGGGGGGACCCCACTTACAGGGGGGACATACTCGGTTTCGTTTGCTTTGGTTTAGGGAAGTGGCTCACCATATTTTTTTTAAGGGTACGTTCGGTATCCAGACACGATAGGACATAACAGTTGTTCAGTGTTTGGTAATACAAAACTGGACAGGACATAACAGATAAAATGACCAATTTACCCCTAATTAGTTGTTTATATATATTATATATTTTGATTAAGTTAAGTAATTTATTCAATTATAATAAATAAGTATTTTTTATAAAAAAAATATATCATTAGAAAGTTTTCATCAAGAGAATTAGGTTATTTTTTAGAAGAGAATTAGGCTATATTTTGAGGTTATATTGGTAAAATATGTGTCTCTTTCACCTAAACACGCCTGTTCCAATTTGTTTCACTCTGTTCCTATATGTTCCATATAAAAGTCCTGCCAAACATGGAACAGTAATCCTGGTTCTGTTATGTCATGTCCAGTGTACCAAACGCATCCTAAGGGAATCTTGTTGACCTAGATCATTTCTAACGATGTCGATCATAATGGGCAAATAAGTAATCTCAAGGAAGCTTACTCACAAAGGAAATACTTTAATTATCATGCGACACGCCAAAAAGGATATCTCGTACTATTAAATGGATAAAACATCAGCATTTCTTTAAACGATTACTAACAGCCAATCCATTGGAACTGCATGCTAATTCTTTAAAATGCGAACCTGCTCAAGGTAGTATTTTTCGCTCGACCAGCTGACAGGTGGCATCTCTAGTGGCTGGAATCCATATTTTCTGCTAAACCTCTTTGGCAACCTTTTGACGATCCGGACTTCATCTCTTAGCGAATCAATGAAGTGACCCACATCAAAAATGTCCTCAAAATCACTGATGCAAACACCATAACTCAAAACTCCCGATACAACAACAATGGAAAAAACATCACAATTACTCAAAAACAACAAACGTACCTAGGATCGGCCCAGAAAGACGTCTTATCAAGCTCCGGAACAACTAAAGTGAGATTTAAAAGACGAGCAACTGTTACCATGTCGCAGATCTGAAATCACAAACTTTGCAGCGTAAATAATTGATGTAAGCATAAACTAAACATGAAAACAAAAGAAGAACCACGAACCGCAGCTCTCATTTGATTTAAACCCCCGTTACAAGAAACTTTGAGAAAGCCATTACTTATGTAATTCCCTGCATGACAAAAGAATGGTATCGATAGGATTAAAATTAAATCAAAATTCTTGTAAACATTATATAAATTGCTGACAAAACAAACTCTAATAGCATAATTAAATAATTTTGCCATTTCCATGAAGAAAATTAATGCCATATATCTATCATTTGATCAATAGTTGTGCAAAAAGAGGCAGAATGACTAATGTTTTGGGTTCAAGATTCTTATTTTACACAATGTATTAAAAAGTGTTTGTTCTATAGAATTCACAATCAAAATCTAAATTCAAAATCATCTATGACGAGGTTGCTTGATTGGTTTCCCACTAAGTCGTGTGTGGATTGATTTGTCTGTATAGATTGAGTGGTTTTTGTTTGGGAGGATTTTTTCATAGACGGAGGGAGCTTGTTTTTTTATTGGGAAGGAAATGTTTGGAGAAAAAAAAACTTGGTTTCTGCACAAAGCTAAAGCTCCCCCTAGAAATACCTTAAGCTACAACCGAAAAGTCATTAATAGCTGACCGAATAAGTTGTTAGTCCCCTTAAGCTCGTTAAGCTGCTAAGGGGACAGATAAGTTAACAAAATGAACATGCATTCTAACAATTGAACAATGTTGCATACTAGCTCACAAAATCAAAATCACTTCGTTAGCTGTAAAAGATATGAAAATAAACATAAACCCAACAATCTTTTCATTCAAATAATAGCATTAATCCAAGAAAGATTCAAATCAAAACTAGACCCTTTTTGAGGATCTAGCTAACTCACTTGGAGGTGGCAGAGGTGGTGGCGCCGGCAGTGCTGGTGGTGGTGTTGGAATGGATTTTCCGGCGTTACTCGATGGTCCGGTGGATCCATTTATCGGGTTCAAAAACCCGATAAACAGTTTCGGGTGCCAAAGCTCACCAACAGCCACAAGTTGAACCAAACAAGTCCAAATCAAAATGCTGGAACAAACCCTAATGAACCAAACTTGTAACCTGGTTCTTTGAATCACTTGGGTTGGTATCTTGGCCCACCTCACCACCTGCACACTACTGTTCTCAGATCTAACATCCATTTCTCCTCTTCACACCACATCTCTTCTTCATTTTGATCAAAACATTGCCTAAAGATTCTCAAACTCTACACTAAAAACTCTGGCTTAAAAATGCCAAATTGAATCAATAAGAACCCTAAATGAATAACCCTAATATAACCTCCAGTTGGGTGCTCAGAAAATTGCAAAAAGATTCAAAACTTTCAAACCTGAAGCCAATCAGAATGACCTAATTCGTAGCACGAAGTGGGTGGTAAGGAAATTGCAAAAAGAATTCAAGATTTGGTATTCACAATGAGGCGATACCGAAAACACCATACCCGATGAAATTAACCTAAATTGGCGAAGTGGGTGTTGATGAATTTACAAGAAGATTTACAATTTTTGCGAATAGATCAATGAATAAGAACCCTAGAGAGGGAGTGATAAACAATGGTGTAATTGATAGATGGATAGATAGTGTGAAAAGAAAGCCAAAAACAGAAAATGTGAGAAATAGGTGGTGAGGATTGAGGAAATCACGAGAATGAGGAACAATAAAATCAATTATTAATAAAGAAAAACGAGGATTTCAACAACCAAACCAAGCAAGCGTCAAATGATTTTCAAGACTTTCTTTAAAAGTTGAAGATCTCTTTAAAATGTTTCCCTGCCTACAAAATGACATAAAATGTGAACCTTTTCTTCGTTTTGTTGGATTGTTGCTATGAATTTTTTTGGGAAAAGGGGTGTGAAAGGGAGATCTAATATGATGAAAGAGACACATGAATGAATTTTGGTACAAATTTGTAATTGCTAAATAATACAAATCCAAGGGAAGTTGTTAAATTTTGGTATTTAGATACTAGTTGTGTATCAGTTCAATGCGATGGGAGCCGTGAATTTTAACGATTTTAAAGTTTTACTGGCTTTATTATAAAAGATTTAACGATGATATAAATTACACTTGGTCTTTATATATTAATACAACTTGAATAAATAAGAGCTATGGTTCCAATTACAGTCTATGGATGAAAAAAATTGTATGACAGTTTAAAATATAATATATTTGAAATCCAACATATTTAAACGACTCTACAAATATATTCTATTTACACCAAGAACAAATAATTAAGAGATCGAGAGCGAGACCGAGAGTTCTAGCGCAATTGAATGAGAAAACTTTTAATAACTAACGGTGAATATGAGTTTGAATCTCACCTTGGGGATGGAAAGAAGACATAGAAAAAGAAATTGTAATAATGTGCATTGGTAACTTGTACTATATGTTATTTTAATTGTAGGTTAAGAGATTTTAAGATTGAATGCATAAAGTAGTAGTATTTAATGCATTATGAGTTGTGTTTAAGATTTTGTGCATAAATATATAGTACTTTTTGCATTAAAAATTGTTTTAAATACTTTTGATAAATCTGATTTTTAAGATAGTATAGATTATTTAATTAATTTTATTTATAAATGTATTCAACAAAACAATGATAAAAATTTGGCTTTATAATATGTTTTATATATTTTATATATATATATATATATATTTTTTTTAGGAGAAAAGTCAGTTGTAAATCTAACTTTTATTGTGAATCGAGATACAAACAAAAGCAAACAAAAGCACAACATGTGTTTACATTTGTTCTCATTGAACATGAATAATAAATGTGAAATTTTTACCGCATTCATGATAATGTTTACATTATTTATGATAATATCATGTGAATGTTTAAGACACAGGACGCATATTTGTTGTTTATTTTATATTATATAAGACGTTTTTAAGTATGATTATCGATACAATATTATAAAGTATTTGACAAAAACTCTTAAAAATTATTTTTTATGCATACAGTACTTTTTATTGATACATATTACTTAAAATTCAATATTACAAGTAAATTGTGCATAAGTACAACTTATTTAAGCTTTATTTTTTAATTTGCATAACTAACTATAAATAAAATAATCAAATACGGGATTCTGAATTTAAACAATCTAAAATATTATTAAAAATTATATTATTAAATGATAAATAAATTAGTTCGTTATCAAATCTAAATTAAGTCATAAATAAAATATTGAATTACTGGACTTACACAAAAAACAAGAACCTTAAAACTTAAATTTGATATGAATATCGATATGTTTTTTTTTTCCAATTTTTTATGATTTCTTTAAATTTATATTTTATTTAAAAATAAAAAACATTATCTTTTTTATAAAACCATAAAAAGTTATTATATTAACAAAAATAAATAATAAAACAAAATATTAAAATTAAGATGTATCTCAATACATTATAGAACGATATTAAAAAAATCATTTGAATGAGTTTGCGTTAGATAAAAAAAAACAGGGCCTGCAACGAGAATAATATTAAAAAAAGGCAACTTGTAAACATTTTGTCCACAATTCAAACTTGTTTTAAGTTAAAAATCAATTATTTAATTTAGTTCCTGCAATTCAAACTTCTAAACATAATTCGTCAGCCTTGATTTGCGACACACACGTGGCCTAAAAAAGTATACCAAATATGCATGTTTTTGAAATGAATTACAAATCAAGGGCATAAACTCTAAATTTTTTAATTTATTTTTATTAACATGAATATCAAGCCTGTTATGCGAGTTAACTAATTCTAAGACGAACACCTGATTTGCAGATAATTCGGAGTCACTGCATTTGAACCTCTGTGGCCACAACAGGGATTTTTATTCCTCTTTGAATTTGAACCTGAGACCTCCTGTTACTTTTGACCTTTGGAGTCAAGCTCAAAACAATCAGGCACCACCCTTGTGGTTAATACTTTTACAATATATAGAGTGACTTATCCAAGATTTTTGCTGAATAGGTGCACTTTTAAGATAGATCAACGGTTCGCAAAGTCGTTATATGTTTCTTTTTGGCGAATTGCATCGTTTCAAATGACTTTTTTTTAGTTTTTTTATTGATTTCGAGGGATTTTTTCGGGTTTTTGGTTGATTTTTGATGGACTTTTTGCCCTTTTTGGTTGATGCGCTTTCTAACATTTTGGAGCACGTCCCAAAGTTTAGCGGCTGCACTTTTTATACCCAAAAAGTATCTGCTTACGAAAATAAGTTGAGCCGGTGCATGAGACCCCACTCTGGGCCTCACCATCGGGTATAAAAAACAATATTCTAGACAAATTGTAATATGTAAGCATTTCATAACCATTTCTTTATCATAAGTGATATACAACTAATATTTGTCGTCCTCGTTTAAACACCAAATGCATTCCTTTTTTCATAAAGAAAATCATACCATTTCATTCTAGAAATCACTCGTTTTGACTTGTTCATTATATGGTCCCTGAAAATATTTGAACTTTGAGCTTTTCAAAAGACTTTTTATAAACTTGACGTATACGTGCACTTGATGGTCCAAAGAAAAGCGTGGACCCAGATTGGCATGTTGCCCTTTAGGTCCATTCGACCCAACAGACTTTGATCCATCTTTTGATATTCGAATCGAAAAACGTTAAATGAAAGGAGATAAATATTAGTGATAGATAATGTATCCAATCAGTAGTATTTAAACACATTCAAGATGTTTATTTTTTCTTCTTCTAAATTTAGAATTTTTCAAAAACTTCTTTTTGATATTAACTCAACTAGCAATAAGGTTTGAATCTTTGGGGATTCTCTTTGTGGTTCAACGATTCGAGTATTGCAAAGCCGCTGGAGATTTTTTTGACTGTTTTCTAGGATTTTTGGGATTTGTCGAGGTGCGGATAAGCTGGCCAGACACCCGTGGTTAACAAAAAAAAAAAAAGATGAACATATCAAACCAACGAATGATGTTGAAACGATTGATCATTGTTTAGTTCGTTGCAAGCAGCTGTCAAACGTATATGCAAAGCTGCTGACATAGTGGGATTTGGCTTCCTTCAACATGGACTCTATTTCCAATGTTTTTATTCTATGGAATATCAATCCTCAAATCTCACCTACTTCAAAAGGATTTTGGCAAGTAGTTTTGTGAACCGTCACGTACGTGATTTGGAGTTCTTCGTAACAAGTGGTGTATTCTAACCAGTCACCCCCAAATTCTGATCGTATCATTGGCTTTTTAATCGTGCAAAAGATTTCAATTACTCTTGGACGAATTGGTGTTGCAATCCCGAGAGTGGTGATTTCCTAGGTTATTTGTTTCGTTGTGGTCTGATCTCTTCCTCTTTCTTTTTTTTATATTATTTATCTTAGTTTCGAGTTCCTTTGTTTTATGCGTCTTGCAATAAGAATCTTCTGAGTCCTTATTAATTTGATTTTTTTCTTTTAATGAAATAGTTGTTTTTCAAAAATACCAACTAATAAAATAAATAGAAGAAAAGAGATCAAACATTTGTGTTATATTATCGATTGCATTGTAATACTGAAATCTATTAAATTAAAAAACTGTTAGAATTGTATACCATTTTTAAAACTTTTAGTTTTTTTTTCTATTATATATATATATGATCAAATGTGAACTAGATAGTATGTGGTAACTATGAGGTCCAATATGAACCAATTATTTTAGATAATTAATGTTATTTACTAAAATAAAACAAATGGTAAATTAGTAAATTGTGTTGATTATTCAATTTATTTTAATAAGTTTAAAATTTCAATTTAATTTAAGTAGTTTGATTATCTATACTATATTATAAAATATTTGACAAAAACTCTTGAAACCCATTTTTTATGAATGAAGTACCGTTTATTGATGCATATTATCTAAAATTCAATATTACAAGTAAATTGTGCATAAATACAACTTATTAAAGTTTTTTTTTGTTTGAATTCGTGTAATTATCTACAAATAAACATAATTAAATAGATGATAAACATCTCATTTTAAATAGTAAAAATATAAAATATAATTAAGATAAGTATTTAGTTCTAACAAAATACTTAATAATTATCTTTATAAAAAAGTATAATATTAAACCAAAAATAAAAAAAATGAATTAAAGAAATACACAAAAAAATGAGAAAATTTAAATAGTTAGTTTGGTATTAATATCATTATTTTTTTTTTCAATTTTTATGATGTTTTTATATTTATATTTTATTCAAAAATAAAAACATTATCGCTTTCTCACAAACACATAAAACTGTATTATAACATCGACTGAGACAAAAAAAATGGAACACTAAAATCGAGATATATTTCGCTGCATTATGATAATATCTTTCTAGTTTTAATATATGTGTATATATATACACACACGACCCTAATCCGGTGGCCTTCTCCGCATACCCACCATCGCTCCGCTGACCTACTCTGGTCTTCTTGTCTGACCAAGACGCCGTCTCTGATGATCGACCACTAAACATCCACTTGTGAGCATTCCCGACAGCTAGCCCAATCTTTGTCCTCGTGACCCCCTCACTACCTATCTCCCTTCCCTCATCCACACCACAATTGGTATTACAGTGGTACCACAATTGATATCACAGTGCTCTCAAAGTTTATTTGGTATGTTTTGGGTATCACATTGTATATCTTGGTGTTTTTTTTATATCAATGATGTTCGTCGGAGGCCGGAGGTAGGTGAGAGAGAGAAAAAGATGAGAGGTAAAAAAAAATTACAATACCTAAAATGCTCTTTAATTATAATTTTAAGTCAAATTACCAAAAATATTAGTTCATAATTTATCTATTGATTTATGGTTGAAATTATATCTCACAGTTATCACAAACTAATCAGTTTTTTTTTAATGAATTTCTATATACTATTAAATTTCTAATCAACATTTTATTATAATAATAATTAGGAAAATTTGGGCTATAAAATAATATCATTAGGAAATATAAAAAAACCAACAAAAAGCGAAATTGAAAGACGATGGACTCTTGAAAGCTTCTAACATAACGACTTCGTATCTGTCTCCCTCTCGCCTCGAATATAGCTAAAACTTCCAAACCAAATCATCAACCATGGAGCTTCAAAAATTCCTGCTTTCCATCCTTCTACTTTTAGGGTTTCTATCCATCATCGCTCAATCGATTCGTTTCGAGATTGAGTCGGGTTATACCAAATGTATAGCAGAAGACATCAAAAGCAATTCTATGACAGTCGGTCACTATTCCGTAGTTAATCCCAGTCAAGGACATCCTTTACCTGAATCCCACAAAATTACTTTGAGGGTAAATCAAAGACGATATCTGAAACATGATTTATTTTCCTTACTATGAGCTACGAAATCGTCAATTGTGGTGTTTGAATTTTGATATTGTCTATGTGATGCATGATTTCTGTCTGTCTTCTGTAATCCCATTTCGATAACTAGAGTTGTATTATGGATTTGCTTTCGTTATAAAGGATTTGTTCGTGTTGTTGCACACTTTTGAACTTCGTTTTACCACTCCTGGAGATGTCAATTTGGTTTTTAGGTTTTGCGGATGTGGGTTTGTATGAATTTTAGTTTGGTAATTGGGATTTCCATGAATGGAAGTTAACGACTTGGCTTTTGCATCAGATCAAAGTTCTTGATTTTGGATGAAATTTTGAGGGTTTTATGTCAAATTTGAGTTTGAGATGTTGGTGTTTGTTGTGAATCTTTTGCAATGATGTGGGTTTTGTGTGAATCCTTTGGAATGATGTTGCTTTTGCTTTAGTTATTATTGGGACATATGCTCCTTAGAGTACTAGACTCTTAAACCAACCACCTAGCGGGCCGTTGTGTATCCGGTACCCTTCTGATATGATGCTTTTGGGAATGTGGGTCGGCTTGAGGGTTGTCGGACACACCTTCGTAACGCTGTAAAGTTTGCTCCCCCCTCTTACTAAGACTACAGAATGTTCTTGTGAATTATGGCCAATACCGAGTATATAAGCAGTGATTTCAAATCCAGAGGTTAATCGTACTCTGGCTACTCTTGTCTATGCTGCATCTACCTTCTTCTTTCCTGGGTTTCTCTACGTATATTGGGTTGAGTTTTTCGAGTCTAAAGTGCATATTCCTGCATACGGTGTTCAATTTGTTCATCTTTTTTTGCAAATTTTGGTATGGAGATGTGATTTGTTGTGTTGTTTTCGCTACAATCTGATCAAACTTGTTCTCCGTTTGCTTATTGTGGCTTTTGAAACTTAGGTGACGTCGGTATCTGGGAATTCCCATCACTATGCAGATCATGTGCAATCAGGACAATTTGCATTTCAGGCTATTGAGGGTGGGGATTATATGGCTTGCTTTTTTGCAATCGATCACCATCCCCGTGTTAAGATTCCTGTCGAGTTTGATTGGAGATCCGGTGTGGCTGCTAAGGATTGGTCTACTGTAGCCAAAAAAGGTTCTGTAGATGTAAGTACCTTTTGTGCATGTTACGTGTCTATGTACCATTCCCACAATCCATATTATTTCAATTTATCGTTGTGAGAAACGTTATCATGGTAGAGAGAGCAAATGAGGAATCAAAAGGAACCCTAAATCTTTGAAATTGGAATAATGTGAAGCCATATTTGTTGAGTGTGGGTAGAAGTCTCCCATAAAAACCAAACCAAGGCCGCTTGGTTGGTTTTCTATTAAGTCCTGCATGTATAAAGTTGTATGTGTGGATTAATCTGTTTGTATAAATTGGGAAGATTTTTGTTTAGGAGGGTTGTTTCATAGATGGAAGGAGCATGTTTTTTAATTGAGAGGGGCAGGTTTGGATTTTTTTGGCTTTCTACATAAATCTCCCCCGGAAGCATATTGAATTAGCCACTATCTATGTCGTTAAGCCACTACCAAACATTCATGTATAGCTGACCGAATAAGTTGCGAGTCCCATTAAAATCATTAAGCTGTTAACAAACAGGCCAGTATATCTCGCATGAACGTAGGGTCTGGTGGTCTGGGGGGGTGGAATATGTGCGGACCTGTCATCTACCCCAGTACAATAAGATTGTAAAATGAAGATGCACACGTATTTGCTCTTTTTGAGTAGCATTTATTTATAATATTGGTTTGCTTTGTCGATACCATCTTCTTTATCTTAGGATAATGTTTGTTGATTAACCTTTTTACAAGCCAAGAGTCTTCACGGAAACAGTTTTTCTACTCCTCGGGTGGATATAAGGTCTGCTCACATTCTACTCCTTCCAAACCCTACTTCGAGTGCGATTCACAAGGTTCTTATGGATTGTCGCAAACCATCTTCATTATGAAAGAAACATATTCATGAAGCGTAGATACAAAAATAAACACACGTAAATTGGAAAATAGATCAGTCGAATGGAAAACTAACAACTTTCCCTTGTACTTTACTTTCTTAACATTAATTGACAAATTTGTTTGTTTTGCAGGCAATGGAATTAGAGCTTAAGAAGCTTACAGATGCTGTCACTTCCATTCATGAGGAGATGTTTTATCTCCGAGAAAGGTTACTGAACAATCTTTCATTCATAGATAGTATTACCTTCGTGTTTTTCTTGCTTCACATGTGAATCATCATCATTCGCTCGATTTTCAAGTCTAAAACGAGTTCATTTGACTTTCAAAATTAATAGATCGCATGCGATTCAAACATAATGTCATTTTGTGCATGCTTATTACAGGGAACAAGATATGCAACAGCTTAACAACAAGACAAACTCGAGAATGGCATTGTTGAGTTTTGTTTCATTGTTCGTCTGCTTATCTGTGGCAGGTTTGCAACTATGGCATTTAAAGTCGTTTTTTGAAAAGAAGAAGCTCATTTAAGGGTTTTCTTTAATAGCATAGTTGAAAAGGAAAAATTGTGGGCATCGGTCGACCCTTTATGTAGGTCCAGATTTGTAGTTGTAGACCACGTTTTTAGTTACAATGGAGAATACGGGATCTGTAGTTGTTGGTCGTTGATTACAATTCAACTTGTTATATCACATAATCATTACTTTCTAGTGTTATATGAATTTACAATGACACTACCGGTTGTGAAACGGTGGAGATGAGAAAGAGGCCTATGGCTTGGCATGCGGTCTGTAAATGGTGGGATCGTTTGGATGCCTCGTAACATTTCCATCAGATTCTCTAAAATGGAGAAATGAGGATTTTGATCACCCCCTTTTTCTTTTCTCAGTAGGTTAGTATGAGGGTGAAATCCTTCAATTTTGGTGAACCCCAAAAAATGGTTACCATGAAAAAGAAATATTTTTTATTATATTGCTACCAATAGAAAAACCTTGAAATTAAATGTATGAAATATTTTAGTAACATAATTAATGTAAAAAAAAAAAAAAAAACATTGAGTTGAATATAATTTTCTTATGAAGATTTTAAATTTTGATTCTCTATTTTCTTAAAATTTTGAAGAATCTGTGAGATATTATCTTCTAAGACTCTAGATTAACAAGGCCTAGGATTTTTTGCGCCTAAAAACCGGGTGTGAAATTAGGCTTGATCAATCTTTCCCGACCATGTTTTTTCAGGCCAAACTTTATCTTGGCCTCAAAAAATAAATTGGCATGATCAGGCTTACTACTAGAGATGGTCAAAAACCGGTTCCAATGAGCCATGAAAATGAAAAACATTACTGGTCCTCGATCGTTGGTATATAACCGGTCGCTGGCCCATTTTTGGCCCCCTCTACTTACTTGCTAGCGTTCATTCTCAACCAGACCAGTATTCACAAGAAGCCAACTTATTGAATAAAAACTTGCAACAATGCCTACTGAAAGTCTGAAACCTACGCTTGTCCTCGATAAGGAATCGTAAAATGTAGCTTTCAAGCCAAGATCAAAAGAAGTCGAAAAAAAAGGTTGTCCGTTTGATGTAAGGTCATAACGAAACGTTAACTACAAATGTACAAATACAATGATCACATATTGCAAGATCCAAGTAATCTTCAACATTATCTTCAGGGAAAAAGGCCAATAAATATAGCATTTACAAGGGAAGAGGTAAAAAAAGTAGCAGAACAATGCAAACAAGTAAAATGTTTTTCCGAGCTGCAACACCGGAGTAACAGTAAGATTTCATTCTTTGAGTCTGAATAAAAGATGAGATTTCCTGAAGTTCCTTAATACTCGCCTGAAAACCGGAGTTGCATGAAAGGGGAAAGAGGAGGAAAACTGATGGTGTAAAACTGGCTACAAATGCTCGTCATTTTGAAATTTAACTAAAACTGGGGTTCACCTTTATCGATCCTTACAATCAGGTTTCGGACTTGAATGTGTCCATAAAAGGATGATGTGTTGGACAGATATCAAACTTACGCACTTGGAGATTGGCAATTGAATCGGTTACGTAAATATATGCCAATGATGATGATCTGGGTGTATCGTTTCCTTGATTTTTTCGAGCCTCTTTAGAATCTCCAAGAAAGAAGGTCTCTTGTTCATATCTGCTGCCCAGCAGTGCTCCGTCAACCTACCATATGAAATACAAACACATCAGCATCGAGTACCAATATTCTTATACCAAACTAAAGGAACCCAGTATATCCCACCTAAGGTGGGGTAGTGAGATGTATAAAGACCTCACATCTACCCCAAGAGTAGAGCAGTCGGCTTGTGAAAAGTGGTAAGACATAGAGAGTGACAGAGATAAGATAAAGATGTTGACTTAGAGCCTGTTTATTAGCACCTTAATGAGCTAGATGTGACTAACAGTTTATTTGGTCAGCTATGCATGACTGTTTGGTAGTGGCTTAATGATATATAAAGTGGCTTATCCAGTAAGCTTCTACGAGGAGCTTTATGCGGAAAGCCAAGTTTTATCCAAATGTCTCTCCCAATTAAAAAACACTCATTCCATCCATGAAAAAACCCTCCCAAACAAAAACTTTCACAACCTATATAGATAGATTTATCCACAGGCAACTTTATCCATAGTCCATTCAGAACTTCATAGAAAACCAACCAAACAACCCCTTACTCTTTCAGTTCAGGAGTGTAACTTTTTGCTCTAAATATGGGTCTGTTTCCTTCAGAGACATATTTTGCTGCTTCATAAGCTTCATAATGCGATAGTGGTGGCTCGCCTTCAAGCATCTATAACAACGTTCAAGAAGTCATGGTCAAGAGATCTATCATTTGCTTTCTACCTTTTATCACGTTCTTATTCAAGAAGGAAATTACCTCGAATAATATCATTGCAAAAGAGAACACGTCAACCTTTTTATCATATTTACGGTGCTTAAAGACTTCAGGAGCCATGTAACGATCTGCATTGTATACCATGAAAAGACCAGGAACAATTATAGAGATGTGAATATGGAAAACTTTTAAGATATATCAAAATTGTAGGGTGCATATAGTTATAGGATATAAAACATACAACTGCCAGTCTCGCCGGTCATTTTGTATATATCGTGGGAATTTTGAACCCTGATGAGTTTGCTAAGTCCAAAGTCTCCAACTTTAAGATGATCCGCATTTGAGTTGACCAAAAGAACATTCCTAAAATATAAGCTATCTCTAAGATTAGCACGAAAAGGTGAATCAAAACCAAGTAATCCTAGATCATAACCGAAATACAAAGATACATTCACACATTAGAGGGACAGTAAGCTTTGCATTCTGATTTCTGAATGTGGTACTTAAACAAACCTCGGTTTTAGGTCCCTATGAATGATGACATTCGGCTCATTGTGAAGATAAGCCATGCCTCTGCAAACACAAAAAAGTAATAAAAATCTCAAGTTAGTACCGCTTCGTTCATTGCCACCTAGCTTAGCAAGGGACGATCATGCACATTTCCAACTTTTGAACCGCAAAGGAATGCCTGGGCAATGCTGTTATATACAGGCTGGGAAGAAAGGTGGCTGTTTGGTTGGTTTTCCGGTGGCTGTTTGGTTGGTTTTCCATTAAGTCGTGTGAATAAAGTTGTCTGTATGGGTTAATATGTCTCTAAAGGTTAATTTATCTATATAGATTGGGAAGGTTTTTGTTTGAGAGGTTTTTTTCTGATAGATAGAATGAGCATGTATTTAAATTGGGAAGGACAGGTTTGAAAAAACTTGGCTTTCTGTATAAAGCATCCCCTAGAAGCTCACTGAATAAGCCACTTTCTATATCATTAAGCCACTACCAAACAATCATGTATAGCTAACCAAATAAGCTGCGAGTCCCATTAAGCTGCTAACAAACAGACCCTTAGCAGAAGATAACTTATATAATAAGATGTGTTGCTTATAGATTAGTTGAAGATATCAAACATCATTTTGATAGAAAAGGATAAATATCTGTAAGAGACTTCTGCAGAACTCTCTGTCACCAGTTATAAAACATCCATCCAGGATTGGAAAATTCATAAAACATTCCAGAATTGCTTACAGATCAACGGAACTTTCCTCATGACCACAACATTTGGAATAAGAAGAATATAAAAAGCACCTGGCAATGTCTAAAGCGAAGCTTACAGCTGTTGCCGCACTTAGTGCGCCTTTCTCCTTCAGGCACTGATGAAGATCACCCTGCATCCACAAATCAATGTTCTGACCTTAAGACCATAAAAAGTTATTTGTTTTTGTATCCTTTTTTCTTACTTATGTGGTGTGTGTAGGGTGAGGAAGATAGTTTTACGTTCATGGTAACTAGATGTTTTTCATGATTTACCCCTCGCAGATACTCGGTGATCAGCATTAACGGCTTCTTTTCAGTAACAGCACCAAGAAATTGCACTATATTAGGGTGGCGAAGTTTGACCAGCAAATTCACCTCATGCCTGAAGTCCTGACTGGATTGGTACGGCAAACGAAAATAAGCAAATTTATCCATTGCGGTAGTAAAGGTTACTGTAAAAGATATTACTTTTTAACAGGAGTTCGCTAGATGACCAGATGATCGGTTATAGAGATATGATGTTTACTAAAATACTTAGGGGCCGTTTTCCAAACGCTAACCGGGTCACTTGCCTTACCGGGTGAGCATGGCAAGGACCTACAACCTTACCTAGCAAGTGAGGGTGGTGACTCTTACCCGTGTTAGCGCTTAACGGGTAAGAGAAGCTTACCAACAATCTTACTATGCCATTTTAATGACTAAGAATCTTACCCAGTAAGGTAAGTGAGGGTGGAGACTCTTACCTGATAATGCGCTTACCTGGTTGGCGTTGGTAAACGGCCCCTTAGTCTACTAAGTAAGGGCCAATATTTTACAAGTAAAAATCTATATTGCGCAGCTTTTGCAGTTTTTAACAAACTTCAGAAATATAAAGGCCATATTACACCTCAAGACAAAAAATAGATAAAGACAAGGGAACTCACATCACTAGTTTGTCATCTGAGAGACTTGGAAGTATACGCTTAACAGCTACTGGTGTTCCACGCCAACATGCTCTTACAATCTCACCGAAGGACCCCTATTAGAAGCAATAGTTATTATCACCAATGTCAATTACAGATGAAAACAATAGTACATTCAAAGCCTAATCATCAAATTTCAACCCTACCTCATACGGTTATGCTTCAAGCTAAATAGAAAATAACAAAAAGAATTTGTACTTTAGCACGTTCTTTCCCCTCAAGTGCACAAGATACAATTTGGAGCTGAAATTCAATTCTACCAAAGAGAAGTAACTATTATAGAACTTGCACCATTAGACCAATGACTTCTCACAAAATTTTGCACTGTCAAAATCATTTAAACATCCTAGCTTTAATGAAATAGGATGAAATGTAGAAATAATCGTTTTCACATGTCACTTCAAAGTATCATATGATCTCACAACCTCTGATGGTAATTAGCAAATAACCACATATCATGAATGTGAAAGTTAATTCAATCACGGATTATACAAAAGATGTATGTCCCGAATTGTCATATTTTAACATTTCTTATAATATTTAAGCATTCAATTGACAAGATTCAAGAAAACAAAACAGACCTTGCCTATCATGTGTGAGGTTGTAAAGTCCAGCTCCAGAGGGTCAATTTCCCAATCACATTTATTTGGAAGAGGTGGTGGCACAGGCCTTGGTTCAAAATGGCTTCCATTCTGGCCCTGCACAAAAGATGCCAAAATTTTCAAGCCTATAAAATCATACAGATCACCTTAAGAAGGTGTATTAACATAAATGTAAATAAAACAAATGGAATGAACAAATAAACAGTCAGGTTTGCAAATATGCAATACTTCTGCTGAAAAATGAGATGATTAACAAACGACACAATTTGCAATTATTGTCATTTTGTGTATCCACCTCCTTCTCATAACTTGTCATTGACCAATGACCAGCGTACAGCTAAGAATTTTGGTTGCCCAGTTCTTGTTAGTATCTTGTCACTTTCACTCTTCTATTAGGCTTCAATGAATTCATGGTGACCATGGTTTGTGGAAATTCTAGAAAGGGACTTTACACCAGACATCAAATTAGAGCAGAAGTAGGTTTAGTTTATCTAGAAAGTTGAACTGTAGGTGAACGGTGAATATTGTAAAAACCAGAGGCGGTGCTAAGGTGGCAGGGAAAGGTAAAAACAACAATAGTTCCACATGAAGAGAGGGAGGGTTGTCACTCCCAGAGAAGTGGGGAGATCATACAGGACAGGAAAAATCTTGCAATGGCGGCGTTCTTGAATAACTCTACCAAGTACTTGGTTTGAAGAAATCAATTTCTTGGAACATTGTGAGAGAAAGAGGGGCCATCAGCCATGCTATCAATATCAGTTGCAATGCTGAATATATGGGAACGGTACTACTTGACAACATAACCTCATGGCCATAAGAAATTTAAGCAGAATAAGGACTTCATAAAGCTGACCTCACTTTTGCATGCTCTCACACTCCTTAGCTTTTTTCTTGGTGTTAGCTTCCTCCTATTATACTCTTTAAAGAAAAAGAATGGATTGTGGACCCTAATTTCAAAAAGATGATGCAAACATAGAATCCAATGAGCAAAAATCCTAAAGGATCAATATTGCATTGGTAGATACAATCCTAACTGAAATTTCAAAAATGTGCCACATAACATGCATCAAACAATTATACCACAAAATAAAACATTAAGAATAAATTCCAAATCAAATAAGAAAGCTTGGCGTTGAACTTACAAAAGACAGGCCGCCATACGACTTTAGTAACTCAATCATGTGATGTTTTCTAGCTCCGTCCGCATCAGCTAGAGGCTGTCACGAGAAATACCAAGTTCAATTATCAGAATATTATTGTGAGTCAATCTAACTAGATGAAAGCTCTGAATAAGCCAAAAGAAACTCAGTAATCAATGGTCAAAAGATCAAGAAGAAAACGAAAATTTTAGTAGCAAAAAGCGAGTGTGTACAAGGAACAATCAGGGATGTTTATCATATATTATAATCAAATATTCATCAATGTTAGCATATTAACAATTACACAAATATGTCTTAGTGTACTCGATCCAACTAGATGAAAGCTATGAGTAAGCCAAAAGAAACTCAGTGATCAATGGTCAAAAGATCAAGAAGAAAACGAAAATTTTAGTAGCAAAAAGCAAGTGTGTACAAGGAGCAATGAGTGATGTTTATCATATATTATAGCAAAATATTCATCAATGTCAGCATATTAACAATTACGCAAATATGTCTTGGTGTACTCGGGCATGATCAGATCTCAGTCGGAAAAGAGGCGGGGCAACTTTGCCCAAATACAAAACAGGTCGCAGGTTCGATCCCGGGGACCCCTTTCTAGCCTCGGCCGCTGAGTGAGCCAAAAATGCCCTCTCACATTGGTGTCCTTGGAGGCGGGTTCCGTGTGAGGCCATTGGGATTGCCGGTGATCAACTTTTTGCCCAAATAATCTGACATCGGTTTGTTAACACATATCAACTCGCATACCTAAGGGCTCAACTATGAGAGTTCCTGATATAAGGTGTCTCCTGTAACTCTTATTTGTTTCACAGTCTTCAGTCAGTATTTATGATGCCCAATTGCTACTTTTTTTGTTAAATAGTCAAAAATGTAAAAATCTCCTTCACATTTGTGCACTCAGTAGATGATAGCAGAGAATACACCATCACATTGACAGACAGAAGAGCCATCAATGGTTGCACATCAGCACAAAGATCAAGATGACCTCCAGAGAAGACCAAATGAATCCCAAACCAATAATAAGCATTGCTGGATAATGTCTTTGCGTTTTGTGCGCCTGCCTGTACTTTTTATCTCTAGAATACGAGACAGGCGACCACGTCCAATAATCCAGAATTTCAGCAATCAACAGGTAAGTGAGTAACCACCACATGAGTTTCTAAAAGCAGTTGGAACCTACAAATGCTAGGATTGCGCTTCATGAGAAACATCTATGCAAATACACAATCTCCAAAAGAGTGTGTCTCTGCAGGCTTCCAGATAAGCTTTAACATGCTTGACATTTGAAGAGGCTGTAAGCAACTTAAACAGCTATGCGGTATCTATAGAAACTACGGTTTTCATCATTACTGGCCAAGCCTACTTGGTAACCTCTTTGAGTAAATGAATAACAGAATAAATAAAAAATAGAATTTACAAGCATCAATACTCGGTCGTTAACATGATACACTTCCATGCGTGTGAAAATATGAACAATATGCGCTTGTAGAAGCATTTATGTTGTGAACATATATTTGCTTCCACCACAACAAGGGAATGTGCTGGAAGTTCCTACCTAAAAAAAGCTGAACAATTAAGCCTGAAAATAAAAGCATGATGACTCATTGTGCCTTACTTCCTTTATCTAAAATCATTGATACAAACCTAAAGTTCATTCTTTCTGAGTAGAGAAATAAACCTTGATTGTTCAACGGATTTTCATTAAAAATCTTAAGTATATAAACAGCAAGGATTCAAATAACTCAAACCGGTAAACACAGCCCTGACAAATTGTTTGTAAGATTTCATCGATTTCAATTAAGCTACAACAATCCTTTCTCACGTCGCAAACTAATATCTAACTATAAAAACAGGATATAAAAAATAATTTCCATATAGTTACAGATTGTACATTCTTACCGTGTTCTTCCAGCGATCTTGCGCGTTAACATCGGCACCGTACTCAATTAAGATTTTAGCGACTTCGATCCATCCGTGAAGCGAAGCAACATGAAGCGGAGTTCGGTTATCATAATCCCTGGCTTGAACCAAGGACCGATCTTCCTCCAACAGCTTCCTAACGGCGACTGGATCGTTCTGGTGAGCATGCCACAGTATCAACGACGTCCGGCTCACTTTGGCCTTGTCCCTCTTTTTCCCCGCCGCCGCCACCTGCGCGTCTCCGGCAGAATGTCCCGAGCTTCCCTCGCTCCCGCTCATTCAATTTCTCAGATCGGAGAACGGAAAATTGAGGTTATATATTTGATTCCTGTTTTTCGGGTTCAATGTGTGGGCAAATGTTCATATGATTTGGGTTTACTTTTTCAACCGATTTATAAAATTTTAAATCTTAAAAAAAGTGAGCGTCTTTTCCCACTGTTGAGTGACCAACACTATCTCCATTCTCCAGAATCAATTCGGATAATAAAAATTTTAATTAATTTATTATTCAATTATGTAAATATTAGAGTAAATTACACTGTGGTCCTTATGGTTTACTCAGATTTTAGATTTGGTCCCTAAACTATACCGATCGTTTCTAAAATACTTGGAATACTTTTAATAAAAAAAAAATTAAAGAAAAATATGAATCATAATTAATTTTTAATCAAATTACATTTTTGGTCTCTATAGTTTGTTTTAAAATTGTTTTGTTCCATTTAATAGTTGTTAACTGACAGTATTAATATAAAGCACTTGAGTATTGTAAAACTGAAAAGCAAAAAACCAGTAATGCAGATAGTTTGTTTTTAAGAATCAAATCCAAAATTTAAAGAAATCAGAAGGATCAAGTAACATGTATTCCATAGTTTGGATGGGTCCAATTAATCGATTTTGTTGACTTTTTATCTCCTTGACTTTATCTCATGGTTTATTTTAATTTTAAAAAGACCGATATTGTTTTATGTGACATGGGAAGTAGCGATGGACGAATCTATTACATTATTCCCTTGATTGTCTCGTAATAAATACTCTTTACTTTTTATTTTATATTTTTCATTTCTTTAGTTTTAAGATATGAACGTTGAAATACGTTAGTAGTAACTTGAAGCTAACAAAAGTTGCAATATTTATATTGATCTTGCTGGTTCTTTGGTTAATTTTTTACTTAAGTCTTATATAGATAAAACTATTTGTATAGATTAATATGTTTTATATAAATTGAAAGGTTTTTGTTTATGAGGCTTTTTTTTCATGGATGAAATGAGTGTATTCTTTAATTGGGGTGTACGAGTTTGAAAAAGATTTAGTTTTATGCATAAAATTTTTCCTTAAAACTTTATATATCATTAAACTACTATCAAAATCATGTATAATTGACCGAATAAACTGTGAGTCATATTAAATTTATTTAAGCTGTTAAGAGACAAACCCTTAAACAACATAATAATAATAATAATAACTTAATAAAAATGGATAAAAACACGTGAAATTAACACATTGTATATTTCTTGGTTATGAAAGTATATACATAAAATGTTTTGTGAGATGCAGAGGGGTTTACACTATGAATCCTTCTTATTCTCCCTTAGACCCTTTAAAGGTAGTGTTGAGAAAGAGTAACCAAGCCAACATCTCCAACAGTTATATATATATATATATATATATATATATATATTAAAAGCATTAAAAATTAAAATTTTCAAAAGAAAGTTACATTCAATTCCGATAGATACTTTATTTTAACAATTTTAACATTAACTATATTATTAAAATATTCAATACATTTAATAAAATATTATTTCGATCTTCTAAACATTTATTTTCAATGTCTTGTCGGTGGAATTATTAAAATAAAATTCTCTCTATTTGAGATTCCTCTAAATTTAGAAAATTTTACAATCTCTCTCCTCTTCTCTATTTCAGTGCACAAGGTAGCATAGTTTGAGCGAAAAATTGCTAAAATCTATATTTTCTGCATTTTAACATAGTTGTTGAAGATGCTTTGAGCCTTTGACTACTTCGGAATTCAGATTAACTGAAAGCGGGCCTAAATCGCAAGCCGTTGAAGGGAAGGCCAATCGATTGGGCTAGTTTTGTAACCAGTTGGGCCAACTAGGTTTTGAAAAGGGAATCGGTCTTATATCGAGCCTTGGGCAACCCGTTACAATTAACTTACGCTCCATATAAATTTAAGATCTGAAATCTGATGGTGAGAGGGCCGGGCTTTTCATTTTTGACTTATATTTCTCAATTAACTTGCACTTCAAAGAAATTTGTCTCTCTTTTTCTGAAGCAACTACGCAAAAATTACAGTAAATTGTTCATCCTCCACGGATGTTCTGTGAATAAAATTTTTAAAATAGTGATGAGCTCGAATATCTTTTTCAATGGTTCGAGCACAAGCTCTATTAACAACTTTAAGTTGTACAATATAACCTAACATTCAGGCTTTATAAACTCGTTTACAAGTTCGAACCCGAGATCAATCAACTCATTTATTGGCTCGAACTCGGTAAAATTTATATCTTGATTGCATGATTTATGTTAATATCTGGCTGGAAAAAGTGTATACTCGTGTAATTCTGCTCAACTCGGAAAATTTAATTGAGTTCTCGAACGAACTGAGACAATCGTTGGTGTTATTGAGCTCGACTTGTTAAGCTAAACGAGTTTTATCTTGTATTCAAGATTGACTCGAGCTCAAGAACTATTCAGCTCATTAAATGCTCAAATCATTAACGCATCTATTCATAGTCCAAATAATGATAGTTAAAACAATTATCATTATCCAAAAAGAAATCATCGAATACGCATCTATCATAAATACTCTCTCGATCATAACACGTGACAGGTATAAAGTCTAATTATATCAACTCAATCATAGCATTCCAAAGTCCAAACTTGTACATATACATGTATAAAGAAGGGATCCAACTCACAAACTCCATCAAGAGGAGGTTTGAAAAATGTTCATATGCAAATTCACCGCATATACAAGCCAAGTCATATGCGACTGAACCAAACAAATTCAGTATATTCCACACCAAGGTAGGGTATGGGGAGGGTAGGATATATGCAAACTTTAGATAGATCTACCCTAAAGGGTAGAGAGACAGTTTGCATGAAGAAAGCTATATGCAACTCCTAACCTTATTATGAATTTCAAAAGATGTACTCGCAATGTGAAGAAAACTTACAGGAGAATGTCAGGTTGGCTTCCAATTTGCCCTTGGACCGATCACGAGTGGGCTATCAACCACAACCCGAAGCACTGGAACCCTTTGTTGAGCTGATAGGGCTTCATTCATTCGATCAATTTGGAGTAGAAGTTGTTTTATTTTCTGCATAATAAACTATTAGTACAAAAACTGGTAGCAGACCCACAAAGCAATATTGCATTACTGCCTTCACTCATCATTCACATGTAAAAGTAAATATATATGTGGAAAGATATCGCACTAACAAGGAAAGTAGAACAATATATATTGATTTCAGAAAAATCAGGATCTTTAACTCGCTTCAAATATGTCGCTAGCAGGCTCTTCTTATTGCTTACTCTCGAGCAGTTTTTCAGAAATTTATAATATCCGACTCTCTCTGACACACTTTTCACAAATGGTAACGGTTGCTCTACTCTCTAACGTTGAGGTCAGGTTTGCGTACATTTACCCTCTCCAGACCCCACCTCCTGGTGGGATGGGTTTGTTTGGTTTGGTTACTTGCAGGCTCTTTTTAACTTATGTATAAAATAGGTGGGTTGCCTAGACCTTTTCAGCATAATGGTCTCCATGGCTTGCTTGTTCTACTAACAAAATCGAAGCTTTAATGAGCTTCAGTTAACATACCATGAAAGATATCAAGGATTTTACAATAAATTTTTCTAAAATAGCAATTTCAATGTTGTTGTTTTCCGAAGATAACCCATGAGCACCCAAGACTTTTATACGTCTTCATGGTGCTTTGCTGTGGAGAAGACAATGAACCATCTAGGGGGATGAGACCAAATACCGCTAAACTAAATACCTTAGGGGGTTTTATGGTTCGCAGAATGGAATACGGTGGAATTGTAATCCATCAACGGAATTTGACTTTGAAGGAACTGGAATGGAATTCCACTACTCGTTTGGTTGGATGGAATTGGAATAGAATTGTTAAAGGAATTGAAATCTTGGGATATCCCGTGGAATGGTGAAATCTTTAATCTAAGGTATTCAATGAAATTCAAAGAATTCCTACGTTTTCAATATGTGAACCAAACAGAGGAATTGAAATTTGGTCGAAAGAATTGACCATTCCAATTCCCTTGAAATCCCTTGAATTCTACGAACCAAACAACCTATTAAATTCGCTAATTAGTTCAACTAGCCTTACATTGATCAAGAATCATGTTCGGTTACCGTCTTACCGATGCCACAAGAGGAAAAAGAAGCAAAAATCACCTACATGTAAGCTAAAACATGGCAATATGTGTTAATTATATGGTGGCACTAATCACAAAAATATGGTTGTTGATAGACCAGTGGTCAAGAAGCTCAGGTAACTGAACAACCACCACTTGGGGCTGCTTAAGTACCAAAATACAAGACCACTGGCAGCATTCGAAGTTGTGTCAAGTGTCCAGCATCATTATTCAATAAGACCTTCTCCTAGGCATTTCATCAAACATTTGGCATCCATACCCCAATTGATGATACACTAAAGGGAAAAACCTCGTGCACTAGGTCCCATAACCTATTCTAGAGTTTGCAGAAAAGTCTTTGATCAAGCAACAAAGCTATACAATTACACTCAGATGTTCATATTTATTCGGTGAGATAAATGCATAACGAAATGTAACTAGATTGCCAAACTGACCTCATCCTTCCGACTTATGAGAAGCGCCAGTTGATCCTTATTCTCTTTCTCAGCTAACCTCCGCCACCGCTGCCATCGCCTTCCGTACGCCATCACGGCCACAATTGCTGCCACCGACGCAATTGACCAAAATCCAGTTCTGGTACGTATCCCGTATGCGATCCTTAAAGCCCAAGAGCTTAAAATCCCAAAACTCGCCTTCAATAGCGTGTTTCTTACTTCGGGTGGCTGTGGCAACTCGCCATCAACTATCTCGGTGGAAGTCGCGGTTGATGAAGACGAGTACGATGATGGTGATGAAGGCGTTTCCGGAACTGGTTCTCGGAGGTAGTCATCTTGTGGCGGTTGAGGGGAAACAGGTAAACCCTCGTGATTGCTTGGGCCAAAAACTGAGGACCCGGTGGTGGTGGGTCTGGTCACGACCACCGCGTCGACGTCTTCTTCATCGGATTCAGTGGCGGAACTGGATGGTTGAATTGCCTCCCACTCGTTGTCCTCCATAGAAAAAGGAAAGGGGAAGTGTAGATTTGACGATGGAAATGGGATGTGGAGCTTATAATTTGCTTCACACTCGCGACTGATAGGCCATGCTGGAATAATTGGTTAATGTGTAAATTACACTTTTCCCCCCTAAACTTTGTGTATTTAACTGAAAATTGTCCCTAAACTTCATTTATTTTATATTTATCCCCTATGCTATAAATTCTTTTGGTTTTCGTTGGTTTCTCTCTCACCAATGATCATTATGTTTACAATTTTTTCTTCATTCGTGTTTCACTCACTAAGAGGGTGTGTGAGATTGCTTATAAAAATAACTTATTAACTTATTTTGGTGTGATACTGATAATAAATATTTTTGAGTGTTTGGATAAACAACTTATATCGGTACCAAACCGGTAATAAGAAGTTTTTGAAAAAGTTAAATAATTCTAACTTGTAATAAGTTGATAAACACTTTTGTAGAAAAACATAAGTTGTTTCAAATAAGTAATCCCAAACACCCCCTAACTATTATTATGTTAACTTCATTTAATAAATGGTATGGTAATTTGTTCATTTTAACCATTTTTTATATATAAAAATATTAAATATATTATAATAATATTATATATACACACACAGAGGACATATTTATCTTTGCGAACCATGTCCTCTTTTCTCATCTTCATCTTCTGTAATGAGCCCCCTCTTCCATTTCTTCGAGTGAACCAATCAGGGGACAAGAGTTGCAAAAGGGAATGGGGATTGGTAGTGACGGACATAGTAATGATATTGTGGGTTTAGCATAGTCAAGGGGAGAGGCAAGGGACACTGTAATTGTGGTATTGAAGGAGGAAGAAAGAGGGTAAAGGTAGCGATCGATGGTGGCAGACAATGGGATAGGTGGCATCAGAGGTAGACACGATGGTGGTAAAGTGTTGATGATGTCACGTGGAGCAAGGAAACAAAGGCGGAGAATAAGTCGACGAAGCAGAGAAAAATGAAGATAACAATGGGATAGAGTGTAGGTGCATTCGCGAGAAGGGAGAAGAACAACTAACGGTAATTGGTTATGACATTGAGGGAGGTGCAATGGATATGGTTGTGGTTGGAGGTTGTTTGTAAAAGAGTCATTATGGTTGATCAGAGTAGTAACGGGATAAGATTTTTACTCCTGTTGTTGCACCTTGATCATAGAAAGCGGGAGAGGATAACGGGTATGAAGAGGAGGGTTGGTGGTGGGGTCCATTATTGAAAAACATAGTTTTAAGATATAAAATAAACAAAATGCCTCTTGTTTAATGGGAGCTAACAACTAAACTTAACGAGCCCTAATTAATGGGAGGCAATAAATCTAAGAAATTTTTGTAAGCGTCGAGGATAAATTTGAAATAAATGATGTTATGGACTGTCTCTTTGTGTTAAAATTGACAAAGTTCAAAGAGAAAAATGCAATTTACTCTTAAATGAATAAAAATTAAATAAATAAAAACATAAGATAATATATTATGGTTGTTGTAAAAACAAGACAAAATAGAGGGGTACCACGTCTTTTATTAATTTATAGTGATTATACAAGGGTGTCAAATTTGTATGAAAACAAAAATCAGTTAAAATATCAATCAATCCAATTTAATTGGTATTAATCTAATTGGTTAGTAGTATTGTATTATCTAAACTTAGGTTATGTTTAGCAAAGTAACTGATAAAGTATATGATGACTGATAAGTCGTTGATAGTTGATAATTTAACTGGTAGCTGATAAACTAAATGATGTATTATGAACAAATAATGTTTGGCAAAAACCAACTTATAAGCATGTAAAATAACAAAAAAATCTTAAAAAAATAGTCAACTACAAATAATCCGTAATATAATTCAAATAATTTTTTTAATAATATAATTAAAACAAAATTTTAATTTCTAATAATATAATATGTTAATTAATATAAATAAGATAGTAAAAAATTAAATAATATAATATGTTAACTGAAATAATTTAAAATAATTATTATATATAGAAATAAAATTTCACTAAATTTAGAAACAACTTTAGGCTTATAACAATTTTTTTCGCTCTGGGACTATTTTAACCTTGAGTCTGTCCTAGTTTTTAAGCAAGCCTTTTACAAACTGTACGTATTTCATTGTCGATTTTAATTGATGATCTAAAATAACGGTATCTTGTATATTTCACCAATGACAACAAATTTAATTCCGAAGGTCTTTCAAGACGGTGGTTGAATTGTGAAGGGCATTCTATTTGTTTATTTGTTGGTCGTCGGACATACAAATTTAGCACATCAGTTGTTCTTTCAATCCTTCTAATGTTTCCTCTAGTTTTCAACTTAAATTTGTCTGCCTTTTACTTTAGCAGTGTAAGATAATTTCATGATCCCGCTTCATTTGGAACATACTAGACAAGTGGTTACTTTCAAGCCTACTCCAATACACTTGCACTTATTGTTGCCTGCAAAAAAAATCTTACTTTAAAAGATTCATTTTACACCCTCAAACAATTCTCTTCGCTAAGGTTGTTTGAGCGAATACACGATTAGTCGCATGGTTTATCATTCATCAAATGGAGGCAAGGTTTAAATTCACGTGCTACGATATTCTTTTGGTTCATTATTAGATTATAAGACCGACCATTTTCATTTCATCTTCAATTTCAATCCCCGCTTTATTCTAGTCGTAAATACTGTAAAATAACAAAATATTAACCCAGCTTTAAAAAAAATTATTTATTTTTAATTCCATTTTTTTCAAATTTGCGGATGCAATTTCAAAGTCTACCATATAAAGTATGGAATGCAATGTCAAGCATCAAAGTAAAGAAATGAATATGGGTAGAAATATTTTTGTTAAAAATAAAATAGAAAACCGAAAATAGCTGTTGGGGGAATGAGGGTCGTCCCACATCGATGGGTAAAGAAAAAGGAGGAGGTGGGGGGAGTTATATAAAAGGGAAGAGAAGGCAATGGAAAACATACTTACCTGGACGGGGTCAATGGGTGATCAAGAAGGCCTATGGCCTAGGTTGGAGACCTCCATTGCACTACGGAGGGGCTCCCGCCTAAGGTCGGCCCAAGTGGTCGAGCCTACGTCATAATTTGTGGCAGTGGGGGCCTGCGTTCGCGCGGCCCCTGTACAATTCTATCAGTTCAATCTTTTGTTTTTCGGCAATCTCCGCCGGATCTTTTATGTCTTCTGGCGATCTGTAATCGTCCGTTAAGGATGTGAAAAATTTCTATTGAACATCTTACGTGTTTTGGTTGATTATTCATTGTTAGCGTTTTGATATGTTCCCTCAAATTGTTCAAGTTTTTGTTTGGCAGATTTTTCTTTGTGGTATTCCGTCGAGTTCAAATATGCATCTCGAATTAATAATGGATTGTAGAAATTGGGGATGTGACGCGCCTTTCACAATTGGATCTGGTAGGTTTCTTGAACCTGTTAAATTACTAATGCTATGTTGTTACAGTTTCATAGGTAGTAAAAACTATACGAGTAACGTTGTTTGTTCGTTTATTAATGTTATGCCAATTCGCAGAAACTGAAGACGATTGATGCAGTGATAATGATCTTTGTGGAAACCTTTGCAAGCCATGGAAAGGAGAATTCATCATGGAAAACCTGCAGATGTCGGAAGGTATTTAGGAAAGAAATTCCTCAAACCCTAGCTAAACAAACTAACCTAATTCATCAACCTATTTCTATTTTTCTAGTTAATCTGCGCCATATGGACCTTGAACTTATCCTACTGGCTGAAAATCATGTTAATAGCCTTGCAACAATTGAAAATCTCATAAGAAATTTAAGAGTGGCATAAGATTACTGCTCAAGTAAGTGTATGTGTTTTGCATCTACAACCGTTTCATATATCAAAGTTCTCGTTCGTGATGCTCCTAGTGTTTGACGATAAGATGTTCATTGTTCTTTACTTTCACATCTTTGACCTCACTACAACATTCATGGCTTCTGTTTAGTGCTCTTTGCTTTTACATCTTTGATCTCACTACACGTTCATGGCTTCTTGTTTATTGCTCTTTGCTTCTACATCTTTGATCTTACTACATATTCATATGGCTTATGCTTCTGGTTTATGCGTTTCTAAAGTTTTGAGTGCTGCTGGAACAACCAGGATTTTTGTTCTAGTTCCTCTAAGCTGCTCAGGAAATCAGCTTCGACATATGGACTTAGCTAACAAACAATTCTGCAGACCACTTGGCATTTCAAATACGATTGATCACCCAAACAGATGATGTGATATTTCTCTGTAGCATCTGGAAATTAACAGTTCCGTTGTCATCAATCATAATGAAGCAACCTTTCAAATTCATGTAAAGATCTTGTAGCTTTTTCAGAGGGGTCGGATCCTTGGATTGTGCTGGAGGACCAGAACGAGACAACTCCTGTATTAAATGCCTAAAACATGTACCGGGCATGCCTATTTCCTCTTTGTCTCCCAAGTAATACGGTGCTGAAAGTTATTTATGGTCATCCTTGGGGTGTGAAGAATGCAACGATTTTATGATTCTTACAAGAGAGTACTTGATTTGATCCAACATATAGCAAATTTAGAGTTTGGAACCTATAACTTGTTTAAATCCTATGCTCCAATGGTTGAATTTGATGGGGCACTTTTTTGTTTTGCAGAATTTACATGCCATGACTTCAGAATTATTAAGTCATTGCCTACTTGTGTATGTATATTTACTTGTATTGCGTAGAGCATGGAAATGATCTGACAAGGTTGTGGATACACTTGCATGGTTACATGTATGTTGGTTCGCTTCTAGTAACAATCCACAAGATGTGTCATGAGAGCCCTAAGGATAAAAACACTTTACCTTGGATTTGGTGTTGCTATTGGTGGCTATTGATGATACAAGGCCAATTTGTTGTCATTGTATTAGCATCCTCAACAGCTCCGAAGCAAACCATAAACAGTGCTTATATTTAAATTTGTAGTATTGGGAAGTTATTTGAAGAACGAAATTGGTTCATGTTAATAAGTTGCTACATTCACATGCATCTGGTGGATTGTTTTGGCCAGTCCTTCATGATTCTGTGAACGTAATTGTCTCTCTTGTCCTGATGCATGCCTTAGCAATAAGAATAGTTGCGATAACAAGCTTTCTTGAGCAACCACTTCCTCCTCCAGTTCTCACACTTCTTTGAACATACATCAGCAATATAAGCAATTTTCATCCGTTTGTCCAGCCTATTCTGCTGAGATATGCAACTTCATCAGAAGTACTGATGTACCAAACTTTGAATATAATGGCTTGAATGGAAGAAAAGAACTTCCTCTCATTACAGCAAAGGTTGGTAGTCCATAAAGTATAAGAACAATCACAAGTATGTTTCTTCATATAAATAGATTATAGATGTATATCCCAGCGAGGATAAATGAATATGCAATAATTGGTTGAATAGATTTCCATAAATAACCTATGAGGCTCCTTCTGAAAAAATGCACGAGAAGATTGAGTAGAGGCTTTGTCTCCACCCCTTGCAAAGGCAGGGAATCATGGTGCATCAGGGTGGCTCTGTTTTGCATATACCTGCATAGAAATAGGGTACTGTTATCTGTAAAGCTAAACCAACAGTATTCCTTATCTACTTTGTGGGTGTGGCTAACTCTTCATGAGGTCATTACATGATGTTCTAAGGTAAAGGGACACCATTTATGTTCCAACACCTTTTGACACAAAAATTAAAATTTTGTACCTAGTATTAGCATAGGCCTTATTGGGTGGGATATACTAGGCTCGTTTGGTTTGGTTTGGTTTGGTTTGGTTTACTAGCATAGGCCTAATGCCGACACATTACATGCATATCTCCTCTGTTGATCTTTACCAATTTAAAACAAACTGTCATCAGTAACCTGTCATCTGGACTTCTAACTGCTGCTTACCAACTACTTCAATCAAATGTAATGTATCCTTATGAACCCAATGAAGTTTGAGATCTTCCTCAACACTGTTGTGACAATTTCACTTCTTTTTCTGCAGTACTGTTGCACATGTCAAAAGCAGAATGAAGCTAGTGAAGCCATCTATATATCTCTACAAAGCCAAATAAAAGTAAAGACATATAATTGAAGACTTGAGAAACCCCAAACTCCTTGTGGTTTTGTAACCAAAAGGTTCCCCCAGATCAAAGGATATATATTTGTCAAGCTTCTAAGCAATCGAGATTTAGCCATCAGAAAAGAAAAAAAGGTACCTTTATGTATTCTTGTCTCTAGACTTCAATAAGAAAGACAGTTCCACTGTCTCCCGTTTTGGAGGAACTGGTGCATCTTAACAGGATACAGCTCTAGTGCCAATCAAGTATCATACAAATCTAAGTGCTTGAGAATCACTCTAATTGGAAATCTAGGGAGGTAGATCGTGTGAATTCTTGTAAGATAAATTAGAAATGAACATATTGCTTCTGGTGCGTATGCTATTCAGCCGCCTCTCCTTTTCAAACAGGTCCACACATTTATGCTGCATGACATTGAGCGTGATGATATTTCAAAAGCACAGTTCAGGTTTGACTTCAAACTCCATTATGGACTCTTTACTTAACAAGAATCAGTATTCTCAAATAGTAGGTTTATTTAGCACACACGTAGACATAACCAACGTTATCCAGTACTGATTTGTTCTTGATCAACGCATTAACTTGCTTCTAGTTAATTGAACTTAGATGCAATTCAGTAGTATCTGGGCATAATGTGCAACTTCCATTCTGAACATGAAAAGCATCTGCCGTACATTAGGAAGTGCGATAGGATGTTTGTTGTTTTGTTCGATATCCAAAACGTGTCATTTGAACGGCTGATTGTTTTCATCTTAATAACCAAAACTGAGAAGTTATGTTGGCCCTATCAGGTACTACTTATAATATATTATAAGCATGTATGTGAACAATGTAATTACTGTAATATATGACACTTTGTTCAAGTTTGTACCGATAGTTTAAGCCTTGGATATATTGGTCATTGGGGGTTAATATCAAAGAGAGAAAAAAACAACACAAAAAGACAGATAGAGGGAGATTCTGATTTGCTGCAAATTGGGACATCTTGTCTCTTTCTTTAGTCTCCCTGAAACCTGTTAACTTTCTAGTTTTATTGTCTCTAAATTCTAATGCTGGACAGGTTTGTGGTTATATCCCGATATCATCTCAACCATTGTCACCTTCCCATATCAACTGCTAGCAAATTTTCGGCAAGCGTAGGGTTCCGTTTGGCAACTTTATATTTGTACGTTATTAAGGAGTAGCCTGAACATGAAACAGTGTTTGATAAACGTTTATGTTCTCAAAAAGCAAAATCAGCTTAAGGTTTTGTAAATGATGGTTATAATTTGTAAACTTGATCATTTTATGTTCATGGTTTACAAAGAAAAACGATAACTTCTTAAACTTTATAACGGGTTTGAAGTTATAATCTACCAAAACACAATAAAACTACGTCTATTTGTTGGTATTCTGTATCTTCTCATACTAATTTCATTAGCAACTTATCATTTGATTTCACAGACAATTTATCACTAATTTCATAACCATTTTGTAATTTTTCATCACCAGTTTATTTTCATTTTCAATGCCAGTTATATTTTTCATCAATCATCACCCAATTTATTACTTATTACCAACTTATCATAAGAGGGAATAGCCTCCTCAATCCTCATATTGAATCCATTGGCCATCTCACTTCCTTATGCTCTCAAATACAACAGACATGATCCCATTATATTAATCCAAATATAAATGCTTTTGCAGGTACTAAATTAATCAAATTTATTGATGATGGGTCATAATTACTTTCTAGTTCATGGATTGTATAACTTGATCATTTTTATTACCCAAATTAAGATCTAACTATAGTAAATGCCTTTGACTTGCTTTTGCATGGTGGGGGCTTCGGCAACATCGGAAATTTTAATCCTCATCAACAATGACAAAAGCAAAATGATCAGAGACTTCACTATCATGGGTTAGTCTACCAATGTGTACCTTTTCTATAAGTTTATTTGTTTAAGGAGGATATATTGGTGTCAAGCTTTTGGATCCTGTGGGCTGTGAAGACGTTAATCTACACACATTATCATATTACTTGATTTTTGGCATTTTAATAAACTAATTATTTTCATTAACCGTTAATTAATAACTTTACTAGTTTACTTTTATCGTCGTTACTACTTGTTGATATTATTATTTTTGTTAACTGCTTGCGCCATGCCCTCTTCATGGAAACAACATTTTTATCTTTTGGGATAGTGGGCATGTCCATATAATTATTTTCATTGCTTGTGCAATTCCTTTTTCATGAAAACAACTGTTCTATTATTTGGGGTAGATTGGGGTAGACCTATATGGAATGATACGGTGGCACGAGCCATTGCTTCATGGTTTCCTCGGAAATTAAAAAAATTACGTTTCTGAAGGATGCCACCGTATTGTTTTGTTGGGTGTCACCATATAGTTTTTGAAACTAAAATGTTAGCATAAGATTTTAATGGCTTAGATAGTAAATGCTCTCGCCTTTGTACAAAAAGCCCAGGTTCAAGTCCTACGGTTGTCTAAGTTGTTGCTTTTTGGCTTAAATTTTGTTTTTTATATACCTCTTTGTGTTTTTAAATATATATGTAGACTGGAATCCAAAATGGGTCTTTTCTATGTAAGGACAAGGAACCAACCAACATATCTATATCGATATTGTGGAAAAAGAATTAGATAATTTTTTATAGTCAAATTATACCATCACTTGAAAAAAAAAAATTGAGTCTGTCTCTAGAGACAGAGAACATGTTTGTATATATCTCACCCTTCCTAAGCCTGTTTTTAATTGAGATATACTGAGTTTGTTTTGTTTAGTTTGAGTTTTGTTTAATTCGAGTGATATATGCAAAGTTCCAAATGCCAATCATCTTTGCATATATTTGACCTGGTCAAATAAAAGTTATATAGCAGTCTTCTTATAGTACTGTACTTATTTCCGTAGCACATTAGCATATCTTCGCTAGACATTAGACAAACATATTCCAACAAATGCTGACGATCCTTACAATACTTCTGCTTATAAATTATAATGGCAGCATGTCTCCAACTCTTATTTCTACTCAACTCTTTATATATATATACATACATATTAGACAGAACTTTATTACATAGCAAAAACAAGAAAACCAGATTCTAATAATGAAAATGTCGAGGAAGAGGAAGGATGTTGCCGGAGAAGAGACAGGAAACAGTGGTAACGGTGAAACGGGCTGGGATCAGGTGATGAATGGACCCACAGATGGTGGGGCCTTTGTTGGTGGAGCTATACGGGCTCGAAAAAGGTTCGTTGGGGTCCGCCAACGGCCCTCTGGAAGATGGGTGGCCGAGATAAAGGACACCATACAGCAGATAAGAGTATGGTTAGGCACATTTGATACTGCTGAGGAAGCTGCTAGAGCTTATGATGAGGCCGCCTGTTTACTTCGTGGAGCCAATACACGCACCAACTTTTGGCCGTGTAATCCGTCCAACAAATCTTCTGCTCTTTCATCCAAGATCACCAATCTTCTCCTCCAAAGACTTAAAGCAAGAAATGGTGCCAATGTCTCCAATGGTGCCTATGGTGCATCAATGGCAATAACACATTCTTTCCCACATCATCAACAGTTTCAAGGGTCAACCCAAGTTCAAGATTCTGATTTTCACAAATTTTTCCACGTTTCTGATGCTAATAGTGATAATACCACCAACTATACTAGTGCTACTACTTATACTAGTGATTTTTGTAGTCCAAATGTGATTGAAAGGGAAGGTTTTGACTCAAAAGATGGTTTTTTAGGTGAGAATTTTAGAGGCGTTGATCATAGTTTAGTTGGAGATGAGCCCAAATTGGAGGGAAATGAAGAGACTGACCTGGGGATGCCAGATTTACTATTTGTTGACGATATTGGATCGTCTATGAACTATTCTCCATTCGAGATTGCAGAAGAGATAACAAAGCCATTGGGAGAGGAAAACTACAATGAGGATTCATCCATGCTTACTGAAGCCATGAAGAGAATGAAGTTTGAGCGCAATATCTCCGCCTCTCTTTATGCTTTCAACGGGATATCTGAATGCCTGAGGATGACATTTGGATCAGGAAACGATTCGGAAAACAGAAAGCCTGAACAATTATCAAATCTTGGTGCCAAAAATGGCGAGATTTGGGGGGAAACCGACGGAGAAAATGGTTTAGCAAATAAACCATCCGAGAGCAAACATATTTTAACGAGTGTAGAATCGTTTTCCTCTTCAAGTAGCAAGGAAGGTGATGAATCTTTCCTTTGGAGTTCTCTTGATCTTCCCTCTCTAGACATGTTCTTTAGTGGATCAAATTAGGATCTTTCAGTTAAATGATCTTCTGACAGGTTATTTTTAAATCCATGACATTCTGACAGGTTTTGAATGGATGATCATGTCTAAAAACCTGTTACAATAAGGTCATGGATTTAAAAGAACATTTATAAGGAGTCATTCAGTTTAATAACCTATCAGATTAAAAGATCTAGAGTTAGTATTGGCTTAAAGCTTCTAGCACCCTTTGATAGGCTAATATTGATATAACTCAGCAACAATACAACAGTGGTGTAATGGTATTCTTTATTTCTTGACTTGATAACAATTAATCTTCTTAAAATAAAATTTTGATTTATTTAGTAGTCATCTTGTAACCTTATTTAGCATATTTAATAGAAACTACACCTGTTTGGCATCTACCATCATGGTCAAGGATTATCCTCCCCATAGTTGTTAAAAGCGGTTATGAGGCGTGCCTAGGCTCAAGATATTGGGTTTTTTAAAGTCGGGGCTATGTGTGTGTACGAGGCTTACTAAGGCGCTGAGCCTTGTGGGTCTGGGTGTGCCTTATAAAAAGTTATTAAATACCTAGTCAAAATCCTAATATGAAATAAGTTGGGTGTAACTATGTGTGTGTGTGTATTGATGAGATGCGCCTTGCATTCCTGAGGCCTGCATCTCACGCCTAGGCCCCAGGACCCCTTTGTGTCTAGCGCATCTTGAGCCTTTAACAACGTTGATCCTGTCGGTTGATTCAATCCTGTCCTTTGTTTTCTGCACATGAAATTGCAATCATTGTTTTTCTTTTGGATATAACTAGGAAACTACACCATGTGAATAAAAGTTTTGTCGTCCATTTATTGATACATCTCTAATAATATACAAATACAAGTTTTGAACTCATGATTTTCAGGTTATTTTGAGTAACTTTTTACCGGGGCATGTGAATCCTGCTATCTTCATCTTAAATTGCCTTCGATTTACCCATTTGAACCATCACCAGCTCAACAAGAATAGCAATGTTCAAAAAATTGTCTTATTGGGCTTTTTGCAGTTCATGCTTCATAGGTCATGCTGCCTTTAGGACGGGCTTCCGTATTCAAAATTGGGCTTTTAGAGTTTGATTTCGAAATGTCAATCCAGTCCTTCTGGCCCAAAATTGTCCATTCTCTAAAGGCTTATTTGTTAGTAGTTTACTATTGTAATAGGATCAAGAATTAATTTGGTCAGCTAATACATGATTGTTTGATATTAACTTAATGATATAGAAAGTGGTTTATTCTGTATGCTGCTAGTTTTTTTTTTCTTCCATACATATCTTTTCCAATTAAAAAAACACGTTTCTTCCATCTATAAAAAAAACTCTCACAAACAAAAACATTTTCAATCTATACAGACAGATTAGTTAACACAGACAATTCTATACACACATGACTTGATAAAAAACTAACCAAACAATCTATAAATACCGCGTCCCTTATCTATTCATTAATTAAGCGAAAACATATCAAATCATTATTTGATAAAGAATGAAAACATAAATTAAATAACTTCATATCAAATGAAATAATTATATTTTTGTGGAAGAGAGGTCCTTATTTTATGAGTGTTCAAAACTCATAGGTTTTTAACATGAAATTAAATGTAAATAATGTTTCCTCAACTCCAAGAAACATGATTATTATTATTAAAAACAAAAATGTTATTGGGATTAACCAAATAGGCAACAAGAATATAACCATTCACATTGGTGAAGATTAAAACAATATTCTTTGGTCTCCAAATACTTAGGAATTTGTATATTACGTTCATGTTTGACCATTATAATATATATATATATATATATATATATACATATATATATATATATATTGAATTTATTGAAAAAGTTTTCATTAATAAGTTATAAGTTAGTTTTTTGAAAAACAATTTTAAATAGATTATTAGGTTTTTTTTCACTTTTTCTTTCTTCTGATTTTGCCCCTATTATAATTTTCTTTTATGTCATCTAATTTATCAACTGATTTTGGTCAAACATGATTAATTTAACTTAGTCAATATAATAGCTAACAAGTAGTTTGTCACTTTGGGTTGTGGTGCACTAGTTAAGGATTAGAGGATGTAAAAAGTGGAAAGCACATCTTCGTCATGTTAGAATCCATGTGTATTTCCAAAGCCCTTGTGACCATAGAAGTTCACCTGCAATGACTCCAGACATTTATGATCGTCCGAGGTATTAGTCGGTGTGTGTAAGATAGCTCGGACACCTATGGTTACTCAAAAAAGTAGTTTGTCACAAATAACTTAAGTATTAAAGGTGGTACATAGTTCGAGCCCTTTTATCCAACTTAAAGTATTAAAGTACCCACATAGTTCGACCCCTTTTAACTAATCTAATTAGAACAAACCTATAGATGAAAGGCAACATAAACCATAAAAAAAAGTTGATTAAAACTACTAAAATTCAGTCATTTTAAAGCCTACTCCTATGCTATATCTTATACTGATATCCCTTTATGTATGCTAATAACCCGCTAATACAAATACGATGCAAAATCACACCAATCGTCACGATTTCTATAAACCGAAAAACAGAAATTACAAGAACAAAGAGGATGTATGTGTGACCATACTGTTTTGATAAGTACACTTTTGTTTTCCATAGCATGTAAATATAACTTCAAATAAAAAAGTAAATGCCAATTAATCAATCAATACCCATTAAAGAAATATGATTGTGGTCCACGTGTAAAAGAAGAGATCAAATCTTAGGTCTCAATTTCATCCATCAATTCTTTTAGGTTTTCTCTGTTTTTGTCTTATTTTCTTTTACCTTTTGTGAGTTTTTGTGACATTTTACGCTAATCTTACGATGTTAATGAATAAGAAAGATATTGAATGTATAGATTTGAGATCATGTATGATCATACTGTTTTTGTGAGATCCGTGAGACCACATAAATAACACTAAACCTTCACTGGTAAAACATTATACTCAAATAGGAACCGTCTCATAATTATCTTGTTAATTATATTACCTACTTTTCATTTGAAATCACTTGATCGATGTAATGTTTTGTTGGTGAAACGACATTATATTCAGAAGAAATCAACCCCGTGTGTTGTTTCGTTGGTGAAACAACGTTATATCATTAACACTGATCAACGGTTAACCTATTCAACTGATAGTGGATCAACGGTTAACCTATTCAACTGATGTGATATATATTAAAATTGGTTGCGACCTGAAAATAAAACGAATAATATCACTACGCTCATTGGGATGTCACAAGTTTGTTTGTGTTCAAGTTTTCTTGGCTACTATCACATCTTGATGTTTTTATAAAATCATCAAAATGAATTGAATCGCAACAGTTTTTTATGGTTAATACTTGAAAATTTTCTTTGCATTTGTTTTTGTTTGAGTGAAATAAGTTTCTCTAATATGATCTTAGAAGCTCTGGTGAGAAATATCTCTCTCTCTCACACACACACACATATACATACATGAGATCATGTGAGACCATGTTTTTTTACGTAAAACCACATAAATAACACGAAATACTGTGAACGTGTTTTTGCTGTGAAGTTATAATGTTTTCGTACCTTCACAATGTTTTACTGTGAAATTTCAATGTCTTTTTTGTGGTCTTATGAATTTATGATGAGATGGTCTCTTGTTAAAATGTGATGCCAGTTAAATGTAAAATTTAGCAATTTATTTTCATTCTATTAAAAAGTAATACGAACAGAATATTTAGAGTTATCGCATGCTTTATGATGGCTTAAACATTCTATTCCAAAACGTTAATTAGAATCCAATAAAATAAATTCATCAGAATTTTTATTTTTTTTTTACTTGACATCACTCTAAATATTTTGATTCTCTTAGGTAATTAATTGTTGTGAATCTTAAGATTCAATATTAATTATATATAACTTCAGCAAGACATTCTAATATATAAAAAGAAAGTGATAGTAATGCATGAAAAAACATGACATATTCTAAAAAATGCTTCAATCATCTCTAACAACATAAGTATTTAATGTGGCTACCTAGTTTTTAAACCAGTAACAATTTATAAAACAAATTATAAATCAGATATTTCACTGAGGGGTTATAATGTATCAATAGCTAACAAATGGTCCCCAACAAACAACCAAATGCAAACATTACTTGATAAGAATCGGTAATAAAGGAAGTCTTTATTTTATGGTTTTGATTAGGTTAAAAGAAACAAATATATGGTTTCCATGACAATCTTTTAGGTATCGTTTGGTTTGATAGAATGGTTTGAGATATTTGGATTTCACATAATGATTTTAATTCTGAAGGATTTGAAATTTTTGGTATGATGGATTTGGGATGGAATGAAATTCCATTTTTATAAATAATTTATAAAAAAATAATATATATATATATATATATTATTAATGAATTATTAGAAAACAGATGTTTCAAAATATTTTAAAACATTATTATATAAAAGTTCTATGTGAAATCCCAACTACTCCATAGAATTTCAAAATCTTATGTTTAAGGAATTTCAAATAAATCATAAAATTTCAAATCCATACAATAATGCAAACCAAACATGGACTTATTTAACTCCATCAAACCAAATGAACCATTTATTTATTATTACTTTTTTTTTAATAAGAAAACATATTAAAAATAGGTATAAAAAAAAACCCATCACCTCCGATGTACCTCCTATATGTAGATTCATTCACAAAAAGGAAAAAAGAGCCTACAAAATAGCCTTTAGTTTTCAACAAGTTATAAATCGTTTTGTACGAACAAGTGGAAATTCATTTTAAAAACACTTATATTTTTATTTTTTTGCTATTTCAAAATATATATTTTTTTAGAATTAGTTATTTATTTAAATAAATTGTTTTTGTCTCTCTTGAAACTAACGTTATTAATTTTTTTATTATTTAAAAATAATTTTCCGTTTTATATTTACTTATTTAAATATCAACAATCATCAAAGTCTCTCTCTTCAATAACTGCAGTTTCTACCGATACCAGAAACAAAAACCCATTTGCCTCCTTTTCTCTCTCAACGTTTATCAGTGTATACAGTGCATAGAGGGGTGGGTTAACATGTAAAATTATTTTGTAAGACCCGTGAGGCATTTTTTCACTTGAAACTGTACAGAAGAACGCTATGAAGGTAACCTTCTAGCGTTTTGCTGTGAAGGTTCAGCTTTCTTTTACCTTCACAGCGTTTTCCAATGAAGTTTCAAATATAAAAAATTGGAAAAAACATGTATTCCATTTTTATTTGGCTGTCTACACATACATATGTTGGTCATCAAGAACACAGATTTGGGATTTTTTTTTTTTTTTTTTGAATTTTAATGTTTGTATAAAACATTTGCATAAATAAAAAGTGTTTAATCCTAATTACAAGGCTATAATTTGTGATATTAATTCAACTCGGGTTCAAATCTTAGTTATTTACATATAAACTTGTGATCATTGAAAGATTTACTTGAGAATTGTAGATGAAACCTACAGCACCACCTGCCATGGCGTCAGTGCTTTCCAAAAATAAAATAAAATAAAATAAAATTGTCGTATAATTCCTCCTACAAGATTCATGTCCCAAAAACCTTACTGTGCTCCAGCAAAAATTGCTGTTCAAGAACTTTTTATATCTTTTCACCATCAACAGGAGCATTATTCCTATTCAATCCCATTCAACAACTATTTGCCACCCAAGCATTCTGTAAATTTTGGTATTTGGTGTATCTAATTATTTTTTGAGTTTATTGGAAAAAGTCTTTCTGGTTAACATAAAAATCCCTTGTGACCATGAAGGTTCAAATGCGGTGACTCCAAACTATTTGCAAAGCAGGTGGTCGTCCTCGAATTAGTCCGCACACATAACAGATTGAATATCCAGGTTAATAAAAAAAACTAACTTTTTGAAAAACAGTTTAAATAGCGGTTCAACAAGCTCTAACTTACAGGTCATTTCAATGGATTTTCGGTGTCATTTCAAGTTATTTTATATTATCATTTAGCATATTAGCTAGTTTTTACGAAAAATGACTAATTTATCAGCTAATTAACTGTTGCCGATTTGCTAACCTATCAACTAGTTCTATGACTTACCATGTCTTATTTTCCACAATCTAAGCAGCTCTAGAGGTGCTTCCCAGGATAACCAACTCTTGGGCAGCAAAGGGAAAGGTGGGAAGAGGCCAGTTATGGATTCAAAACTGCAATCGTTAACGGTTGCAAGAAGGCCGGATTCCGGTGGCTCCGAAGGAACCATGATCGCCCTTTTAGCCAATCATTTCCTAGTCCAGTTCGATCCCTCGCAGCGTATTTACCATTACGATCTAGAAATCTCCCCGAATCCTTCCAAGGATATTGCTAGGTTGATTAAGCAAAAACTAGTAGAAGAAAACTCCAGCGTTCTCTCCGGCGTCCTCCCGGCCTATGATGGCAGGAGAAATCTTTTTAGCCCAATCGAGTTCGACAAAGATAAGCTTGAACTTTACATCAACCTTCCAATTCCGAGAAACAACTCTCCGATGGCTGCAAATATTGAAGATAGTGAAGAAAAATTCAAGCTTTTTCGGGTAAACATCAAGATTGTATCCAATCTTGAAGGGAAGAAACTAAGAAACTATTTGAGTAAAGGAGATGAATCGGTACCCCTTCCACAAGACTATCTTCAAGCTTTGGATGTCGTTTTACGCGAAAACCCCACGGAAAACTGTGTTCTTTTAGGCCGATCTTTTTACCCGAATTTAACAAGAAAAGATCTTGGAGGAGGAGCAATTGGAGTTCAAGGTTTTTACCAAAGTCTTAGACCAACACAACAAGGTCTTGCTCTCAATGTTGACTTATCGGTCACCGCCTTCCATGAGAGCATCGGAGTGATTGCTTACTTGCAGAAACGTATCCATTCATTGCACGATCTTTCTGAGCGGAAAACGAGAGGTTTTAGCAGAGAAGAGAAAAAGGAAGCGGAGACCGTGTTGAAAAACATACGGGTTTTTGTATGTCATCGAGAAACCACAGAAAGATATCAAGTTCATAGCTTGACGGATGAGCCAGCGGCAAACCTTCAGTTTCGAGATCGAGATGGGAAGAATTTACAGATTGTAAATTATTTTCGTGATCAGTATAACTATGAGATACAGTTCAGGAACTTGCCTTGCTTACAGACTAGTCGAAGAAGGCCATGTTATCTTCCTATGGAGCTTTGTGTGATTTGTGAAGGCCAGAAGTTTCTCAGGAAGTTATCGGATGATCAGACTGCAAAAATACTCGAACTGGGTTGTCGGAAACCAAAAGAACGGAAGGCGATCATCGATGGAGTCATGGCTGCACCCTTCAGCCCATCAAGGTAATCCTCTCTTCTTTTAGCACTAATTCACACTAAATATGTTTAAATGTCCTAATAGGACCAAACAATTGTACTTCTATAAACCTCCTATAAAAACTAACACAATTTACATAAAAATTTACATATCACCCATAAAGGTTTGATCCTATAAAGCAGTCTATTATAAAATTTAAAAATATTTGACATCCTATAAAGCCGATTTTATTATAGTGTCACCAATATTTCCGATCAAAATCTTATGATTCTTGAATTCGACAGCGGAAATCAAGCAGGGGAATTCAACCTTCATGTTTCAAGGGAGATGACAAAGTTGAGTGGAAGAATTCTGCAGCCTCCGAAGCTTAAGCTAGGAGATGGAGGCAATATAAAGGACTTGATCCCTTCACGGCATGATCGACAATGGAACCTTGTCGGTAGCCATGTGTTCGAAGGAACCCAAATTGCGAGATGGGCTCTGGTTAGTTTCGGTGGCACCGGTGACCAGAAGTCGACCATCCCAAATTTCATCGATCGGCTAACTCGAAGGTGTGAGCAATTAGGGATCTATCTCAACAAGAAAACAATCATAAGCCCACAGTTTGAATCAATGCAAGTTCTTAACAATGTGAATCTTCTTGAATCAAAGCTCAAAAAGATCCAAAGATCTGCATCTAATAATCTGCAGCTTTTGATTTGTGTGATGGAAAAGAAACACAAAGGTTATGCAGATTTGAAGCGGATAAGCGAAACCAGCATCGGGGTTATGAGCCAGTGTTGTTTGTATCAAAATCTTGCGAGATTAAGCTCGCAGTTTCTCGCGAATTTGGCAATCAAGATCAATGCCAAGATCGGTGGGTGCACCGTGGCTCTGTACACGTCGTTGCCAGCTCAGATCCCGCGGCTTCTGACCCTCGATGAGCCGGTGATGTTTATGGGTGCGGATGTAACACACCCGCACCCACTTGACGATTTCAGCCCGTCGGTGGCGGCTGTGGTCGGGTCGGTGAACTGGCCGGCAGCTAACAAGTACGTTTCCAAAATGCGATCTCAGACTCACCGGCAAGAAATTATTCAAGACTTGAGTATAATGGTGGAAGAGATACTACATGATTTCGTCCGGGAGCTTTCGAAGCTGCCGAAACGAGTGATTTTCTTTCGGGATGGCGTGAGTGAGACGCAGTTTCATAAGGTGCTTCGTGACGAATTGCAAGCGATTCGGGATGCATTTTCGCGTTTCACCGGCTACAACCCGCCGATCACGTTTGCCGTGGTCCAGAAACGGCACCACACACGGCTGTTCCCTGCGGACCCGGTATCTGGTGCTGCCCGAAACCAGTTTTCCGACGAGAACGTGCCGCCAGGCACGGTGGTTGACTCGGTCATCACCCACCCGAAAGAATTTGACTTCTATCTATGCAGCCATTGGGGTGTCAAGGGTACTAGCCGGCCGATACATTATCACATTCTACGCGATGAAAATGAGTTCACTTCTGATGAACTTCAGAAACTTGTTTACAATCTTTGCTTCACCTTTGTGAGGTGCACTAAACCTGTCTCTTTGGTGCCTCCTTGTTACTATGCTCATCTTGCTGCTTACCGAGGCCGATTGTACCTCAATCAAACCGACAGGTCGTCGGGTTTTACAAGAAGTGGTTCACCGAAGACCACACCGCTCCCAAAACTCCAAGAGCGGGTCAAGAATCTCATGTTCTACTGCTGATGCTACGCCTAATTAATCTGATGTTTACTTGTATCATTCTGCCATTAAGCATTAGATTGGTTTCAAATACCCGGATGGATATAATGTAAAATTGCCTTCTAGCGAAATTTACGGAATATTTCAAGTGGTCGTTCTGATCCTTGTATCGAACCTATGGTTTAGATTACACAACAAACAGGTCGGGTTCTTTAAACAATCAAATCTGCAATTGAAAGCTTTCGTCATTAAGAACCCACACAACTCAAACGACCTTAAGCACATGAATTTTGACAGTGGCATCAACGAAATGTAGTCCTAAGAAAATCACCATTCAAATTACAATTAGAACCTGAACCTTATGTTTCTAAAAGAACCCATCTATTCTGCTGCATTTTTCAATGGACAATTCCTGGAGTCATGCGTAGACAATTCCATGCATCTTCTGCACATTCTCTTACGCTTTGAGCTTTCAACAATGGCTTCCTCCCATCTATTTCTTCTTACTGGTGGGTTACGAATTGTAATTTCTCCGAACTCGTATCCCAAAAATGATTCCGCCATCTCTTTTTTGCTATTGTAGTTCAGTGAGTTGAGAAATTCAGCTTCTACTTCACACTTGAGATCGTGAATTTTGCTTGCAAAAGCTTCAAGTTTCTTCTTATCACGGCTTAATATATCAATGCAATAGTCCACTGCTGAATGTGTATCATGGGCTAGTTCATTGCGATAACCCCGATCTATTTCGCCTAAGCAATTTCGTGTCCTCAATAAATTGGTGGTTATTATATTTTCTTTCCAACGTTTCATTATGTATTTTCCAGAATGAGGTTCATCGAATCCAAAGTAAGGACACCCTGTACAACATTTCATTACAATGTCATATTAATGCATATGTTAATAACCAATTGAATATATATTGCAGGACTATCACGAGTATGTTGCATTAAGCATTATGGCCATGAGTATATCATATGAATACGAGTTATATAACATTCCTCAAGTATATTACATTTTCCCCCAGGAGTCTATTCATG